TTTTTTTTTTTTTTTTTTTTTTTTTTTTTTTTTTTTTTGAGATGAATTTCTACTCTGTAGTCCTGGCAGTTCCTGAATTTGGGGCAATCTTCCTGCCCCAGTTTTCCAAGTGATGGGATTACAGGTGTGTGCCACAATGTACCTGCCTTTATCCTTGGCTTGATGTTTGAGTAAAAGTGGGAGATGTCTGTGTTCACGATCTTCATAAAATAGTAGGGGCTCTTAAATTTGCCAAGTGTTATAAAAGAGGTAGGAAAAGCATTGTGTATACATGGGTAAAAATCCGCTAAACCTTGTATGGATAAAATGGTTGTAAGCATATTTCATTTTCTTAACTATTTTTGTTTAAATAAAAATAACAAGAGACAGTGGCCTCTGCAAGTAGTTTTGTGGACCAGCTGTATTTCCAAATATTTTCCAAAGGGATGGATAGGTCTTCGGCTTGGGTTTCCTACAGCCCCTTTCCTCAGTCCTTCCTCCCAGGACTCTTAACAGTCCTTTAACACTCAACTTCCAGCAAAGTCTTTCCAACTCTTGAGTATTTTTCATAGCACAGGCATTTCCGCTGTGCACCTAAACATCACCTGTAGCATTTAATTCACGCCGTCGCCCCAGGCCATTCCCTGCCCGTTTCCTGTGGGACTCTCCTCTTGCAGGAAGAAACTGCCTTTGAACTTTGACATAAAAGATATGAGCAGGTGGCTGTGTATACGAACACACTGAACTGAGTATGAGCACTAGAAAATAGTCATTCCTTCTGCAAACATCAGTCAGTTTGTGTTGCTGTTTGTGGTTTTGCTTTGCTGTGAGGCCTGCTGGCTGACTCTCCTTAAGAGCCAGCTGGCTAGAACAGAGAAAACAGTTTAAGAACTTTTTAGTATTTCTGTTTCAACTCCCAAATACTTGGCAAGCAATGCAAAAACTGGGTATCTGTAGGCATTTAATGTCACTGGCTGCAGGGCTTGCCTTTGAATCACCCAAAGAACAGGTCGATTTTAGGGTCTAGGCAGCCTTGCATGCATAGGGGGATTTTCACTTAAAAGTTTTCTAAAGTTCAGAGACATAGAGCTGGGGGTAGAGGTGTACATCTTTAATCTCAGAACCTGAGAGGGAGAGGCAGGTGGATCTCTTTGATTTCGAGGCCAGCCTGGTCTATAGAGCTAGCTCCAGGACAGCTAGAGCTATGCAAAGAAATCCTGTCTTTTTTTTTTTTTTCTTATCAGTTACATTTTATTAACTCTGTATCCCAGCCATGTCCCAATCCCTCATTCCCTCCCAGTCCCTCCCTCCCTCCCTCATCTCCACCGTGCCCCTTTCCAAGTCCACTGATAGGGGGGACCTCCTCCCCATTCATCTGATCCTGTTTTATCAGATATCTTCAGGACTGGCTTCAAAGCTCTCCTCTGTGGCCTAACAGGACTGCTCCTCCCTTGGGGGGTGAGGAGGCCAAAGAGACAGTCATTGAGTTCCTGTTAGAAATAGTCCTTGTTCCCCTCACTATGGGAAACCAATTGGTTACTGAGCTACCACATGCTACATCTGAGCAGAGGTTCTAGGTTATATCCATACATGGTCCTTGGTTGAATGTCAGTCTCAGAAAAGACCCTGTGCCCAGATATATTTGGTCCTTGTGGAGCTCCTATCCTTTCCCCATCAGACTAACTCCCCTTCTTTCTTATGATTCCCTGTACTCTGCTAAAGGTTTGGTCATGAGTCTTTGCTTTGAAAACACTGCTAGTTAGAGTCTTTCAAATGCGCTCAGTAGACTCCTGTCATACGTTCAATGCACATCCCATCTGTCTTTCTAAACGAGGATTGATCATCTTACCCCATGTCTGCTCTCTTGATTATCTTTTTTAGGTGTACAGATTTCATTATGTTTATCACATCTTATAGGACTATATAAGTGAGTATATACCGTGTTTGTCTTTTTCCTTCTGGGATATTTCACTCAGGATGATCTTTTCTAGATCCCACCATTTGCCTGCAAATTTCATGATTTCCTCCTTTTTGATTGCTGAGTAGTATTCCATTGTGTAAAAATACCACAATTTCTGTACCCATTCCTCCGTTGATGGACATCTGGGTTGTTTCCAGGTTCTGGCTATTACAAATAAAGCTGCTATAAACATGGTTGAGCAAATATCCCTTTTGTGTACTTGAGCAAACTTTGGGTATATACCTAGCAGTGGTATAGCTGGGTCTTGAGGAAGCACTATTCCTAATTGTCTTAGAAAGCGCCAGATAGATTTCCAGAGTGGTTGTACCAGTTTACATTCCCACCAGCAGTGGAGGAGGGTTCCCCTTTCTCCACAACCTCTCCAGCATGTGTTGTCCCTTGAGTTTTTCATCTTGGCCATTTTAATGGGTGTAAGGTGATATCTCAGGGTCGTTTTGATTTGCATTTCCCTGATGGCTAATGAGGATGAGCATTTCTTTAAGTGTTTCTCTGCCATTTGATATTCCTCTGTCGAGAATTCTCTGTTTAGCTCTGTTCCCCATTTTTTAATTGGATTACTTGCTTTGCTGCTTTTCAGCTTCTTTAGTTCTTTGTATATACTCGATATTAGTCCTCTGTCAGATAAAGGGTTAGTGAAGATTCTTTCCCAATCTATAGGCAGTCGAGAAACCCTGTCTTGAAAGAAACAAAATGAAACAAAACAAAAGTTTGGAGAAGGTAGTGGCTCTCATAATGCCATCACAATGTATTAAAAAATCCAGGCTTTGCGGATTCATCTGAGGGATTTGATTGCTGTGGTCACTACAGTGACTAAGATAAAGGGACCTGACAAGCTGGTGGAGATGTTGCCATGGCGAGAGTACTTACTATGAGCCGCTGGTCATGCTAAACTGCCCTTGCATAGTCCCTGCTCCCTGTCATCATGTGCAAGCTCAAGAGAGTCATGAAAGGGGGCTGGAGAGATGTCTCAGTGGCTAGGAGTGCCTGCTGCTCCTACAGAGGACCCAAGTTCGGTTCTCAGAACCCATGTCCAGTGGCTCACAACTGCTTGTAACTATAACTCTGGAATCCAGTGTCCTCTTCTGACCTTAGGTACCAGACCTGTATGTGATGCACAAACATATATTCAGGCAAAAATAATAACCATAGAGTAATAATTTTTTAAAAACACGCTATTAAAGGAGCTGGAAAGATGGCACATGGGCTATCCCGTCTAAAGGGGGACCCAGATTCAGCATCAGGCTTCAAGTATCCTACCTGTGTTATCACCATGAAGCACTATGAAGAATGTCAGAGGCCTCTGATGAGTGCCTGGGGGGAGGTGGCCAGCTGCTGCCTTTACGAAGAGCCTGAGAAGCTGTCGGGCACCTGATGGAGAAATGGCTGGCTGGTTATGGGCAGCTGTGTCCCCCATAACTGAGTCTCCCTGACTCCCGGAGGCAAGGAGTCTTCCCAGGCAGCATCAACAGCTGTTCTTGGAGGCAGAGCCATCATCTTTTCCATCAGTGCCATTTCTTGTTGAGCTTAAGTGAGGACCGTTCCAAGACTGTGAGGTATAAGTAAACACAAAAGGGGGGGGGAGAGAATAGAAACTCTATAAAGTGGAAGAAAAAGTGGAAGACAAAGGACTGTTGTCTGTCAGGACGTCCTTAGCATCACTTATAAAGAACATGCGTGAATGAGTCAGGAGGTCTTGACCAGCCCGGGGAAAAGAAATGGAAGCTGTGCATTAGCCCTTCAGTGCCCTCCTGTGTACATCACTGTTTTGTTTAAAATAATGAGCACAGAGCAGTCCTTTAACAAAAAGTAAAACTTTTTAAAAAAGACCTCTGTGATAGATAAAATGAGTAGACACACATCTAAGAGCTACGGTTTAGTAAGAGTGGCAAGGAGGCTAATTTCTGGAAAGAATGATGAATAAGAAAAATGTTGCTCATCACCCCACCCCCTTTCTATTTTCAGGACAGGGGTAATGAAGTCTTGACGTATGCCATATGACTCTAACCCCTTTACTCTGTCTTTTCTGCAGGGGGACAAATGTCAGGCTGGCAGGGACAGCTGATGAGATAAAGTTGGCAGTACTGAGGCAGTAGATTATATAGCCTTGCAGCACCCCAAGTTAGGCCACTTTCAGGACTTAAACCCTGTGACAAATTGCTGACAGCACAGGGAGAAATTGCTGCGGGTCTTTGTCTTCTATGAGAAAACATAACGGAGGTGCTGAGGAAGCAGAGAATCTCCTCCCCCAAGAGGGAGGGGTTTGATCCTGCAGAGCCATGGGAATAAGTCAAATGAGTCATCACATAAAACTTAAAACTCTTAGGGAAAAAAAAGAACTCCATAGGCTCAGCTCAGCACAAGGATCCACCTAAATATTTTTCCGTGAGGCAAGCAGCCTAATTGGGAAAGTTTATGGGGTTTCTGCTTGAGATTTCCAACTTTCTTGTGGTTAAGATGGGAGTAAGCTGGGCTGTGTTATTCACTTTTCAGTTGAGTCATGTCTCAATATCTGCTTGGAGTTGTGGGTGATTAATAGATCAGCATCCACCTGAGTGAAAGCTTCATTTGGTTATGTTTTTAAAAAAAAAACAATGGCGTGGATGACAATATGGAAAGCAGGCTTTGTCAGTTCTCTCAGAATTGGGATGGCTCCAGAATGAGCCTGGCATTTAAAAGTTCTTATAATGAGCTGGGGAGATGGCTCAGTGGTTAAGAAAAGTTTGGTTACTGGCACCCACATCAGGCAGCTTACAACTGTCTTTAAGATGTCCAGGCACCTGGACATCTTCTGGCCTCTGCAGGTACCTGTGTGCTAGCACATGTGCGCGCAAAGACGCACGCACGCACGTGCACACACACACACGTTTTTTTGAAAACAATTAAGTTTGGTTGTTTAGCAGAAAGAATATAACATATAGGATGAACGTGTAACTAGCTCTAACAAAGATTAAACACAACTGTCTGTCTTAGGGTTTCAGTTGCTGTGATGAAACACCATGATGAAAAGCCCACCAGCTATTTCTCAGCAAATAGATGCAAGTGGAATTTATTTTGATGAGCTTCTTGAGTGAATATAGAGTCAGCTTTCATACAAGTCTTTTCTTGCTGCTTTGTGAGCTCACAGCGGGGACAGATTTTTTTGGCTTTGAAATGAACAATTCCAAAGTAAAAGGAACCCGCAGTTAGGAGGGTTCCCTCTGTTCTCTCTTTCTCGGCAAGCAGTCTTTCCCCAGATCCTATGTTCCTGATGAGTTTGTGGGTCTTCTTTGACAGGATGGACGGGCCGCATCATCGATTCTGGTTGGTGCTATGTTCATTTTCTGTAATCTCTACTCTACTCCTGGACCCGCCATTCGATTGCTCTACGCAAAGCGACCGGGCATTGGACTATCTCCGTCCCACAGGAGGTACAGTGATGGAGGTGCAGGACCGGTACATGTGCAGTTTATGTGGTACCCAGTGCTGAGGAAGGGTGGCCTCATGGGAGCTGTCTTTTAAATTTTGTCTAATTGATCCAGTGTTATCCTGAACTGTGATGACAATTAGAATGGATGAGAACACTGGGTTGTCATACAGATTCATGAACCCTCATTTGAAAGTCTGTGATTTTTAAAACTAAAAGGAAAATTTAAAGAATGTCTGGGTTTGCTTTTTTATTTGTTTTGTTTTTGTTGTTGTTTTCAAGAATGGGTTTCTCTGTGTAGCCATGGCTATCCTGGCACTCACTCTATAGACCAGGCTGGGCTCAAACTCGCAGAGATCTCCCAAGTGCTGGAATTAAGAGGTGCACCACCATAGCCAAGCCAGGTTCCTCATTTAAGAGGAGAGGAAGCGTGAGTGAGAACTGGACCAAGGCTGTGATAAGAACCAGTCTAAAAACAAATACCCACTGAACATAGCTTAATCATTCTCTCCAAGCCAAGCTTCCAGTGTCTTCTGGCTTCGTGCGTAATGTCTTTGTTAGGATACACTGGGGGTCACAAGATGGTGGTACAGGCCTTGAACCCCAGCACTTAGGACGCAGAGACAGGTAGATCTCTGCAAGGACTACACAGAGAAACCCTATCTCAAAAAAAAAAAAGAAAGAAAGAAAGAAAGAGAAAGAAAAAAGAAAGAAAGAAAGAGAAAAGAAAGACACACTGGTGATCATTGCACGAAAATGCGAAAACTACGGATAGAATAGTGTTGTAAAGCCTACTTTTTCTCATGATTGAGACACAGGACTGTGATAGATAGATATAGGTTATAATAAATAATGTGAAAATGGCTTTTAAATAGGAAGCACATTTTTAGCTAGCTGATTAATTTTCTTCCCTAGAGTTATAATTAGTTTCTGTGTTCTTACTTAAATCCCATCTTCTTACTTCTTTGGATAAAATTCCTGATCATAAATTCTAAAGTTTATCCAACTCTGCCTTTTGCTGACATACTTAATCTGCTTGATTTAATAGAAATGGATGCTCATATATCAGGCTAGTTTAACACTGCTGCACGCTCTCGACTGAGTAAACACGCTGCTATCAGCTCAGCATGTCAGTGGAAACAAGCTTTCTCTCATTCAAAACAATCTTTATTTGTTTTATGTTATATATATGTATATATACATACATATAGGTGTTTTGCCTACATGTATGTATGTATATGCTACACATACATGTTTGGTGCCAGTGTGGCCAGAAGAGGGTGTCAAACCTTGGAACTGAAGTTAAAGACTGGGCAAGCAACCATATGCATGCTGGGAACCAAATCATGGCTCTGGCTCTGCTATATAAACTTTCTTAATTGCCTGCATTCCCCTTTGGTGGTTAAGGAGTGTTGCAGAGAGCACTTTTATTGCAATTTAGTTATCAAGGACAGACTTCACAGCAGGAACTGTCCAATCCCCTTTCTCCGATGGGCTCATAGAACGGTGGTTTTCTGTTTCAGATACTTAGGCTACATGTGCGACCTACTTGCAGACAAGCCCTACCGCCCTCATTTCAAGCCACTCACGATCAAGGCGATCACCGTTAGCCCAATTCCCTTCTTCAATAAACAGAGAAATGGGTGCCGCCCTTATTGTGATGTGCTGATTGGAGAAACTAAAATATACTCAACATGCACAGATTTTGAACGAATGAAGTAAGTCACAATGTTTTCTCCTCTCTTCTTACAGATTTAATTCCTTTGTAAGCTGGATTCTTCCTGCTTACCTCTGTGGTGGGAAATTTTTTTTTTTTTTTAAAGCTCAACATATGTATAATCAAAGATGAACATAACTAATCCAAGACTTTGTTTCCTTTACTCACAGTGATACTGTGTTCTGCAGGGGTGCTTGGAATGTTCAGATGATGGGGGTGGGGTGGGCACAGAGGAGGCGCACACTTAACGAGCAGACTCAGTGATTTGGGTAAACCATTGTCTTGGTAACTTTTAACTTGATGTGATTAGACACCATAGGAACATGCCAGCAGGCATGGTGCTGGCACAGTGGCTGAGAGCTTACATCTTGAAACGACAACAAGGAACAGAGAGAGATAAGTAGGAATGGTGTGGGTTTCTGAAGCCTCAAATCCACCCCTTGTGAGGTACCACCCTCAACAAGGCCACACCTCTTAATCCTTCCCATACAGTTCCACCAACTATTGAAATATATGAGCCTGTGGGGGCTATTCTCATTCAAACCACTATAAAGATGATGTACTTTAAAGTACTTATATGATCTACAAAGATGAATAGGCACAAGTGGGAGGTCCTTGGGGTTTAGGAGACAAGGGAGAGGCTGGTCACCCAACACAGACTTAGTTAGTAATAGATTAACTTAGGAGTCAGTGTTCTAGATCCCTAGAGGGTATGACATTTCTGTTTCTATTCTGATCTTGGTTGAATTTTACTGTTAAAGTCAGGAAAAAGGCTGTATGAGAAATGATGGTTTGAGGAAAACAATATCTTGTTTAGAAATCCAGATGGGATGGAGAAAGAAGTCCTACATTGGGTCAGACTCTACCAGCTCAGGAACAGTCCATACTGGACTCATTCCTACCTTTGCACAAGAAAGTAGCTTCTTTATCTAAGCCCGGGCAAGTAGGTCCCTCAGAGCCGTAAAGGAGCATGCCTATGTCTGCGATTGTATCAGACTGGACACTCCCATGGTCTCTTTTGATCTCCATTTAAAGAGAATACCGTGTCCAAGATGGGAAGATCTTCATTCCCCTGAACATCACAGTCCAAGGCGACGTCATTGTTTCCATGTGCCACCTGCGGTCAACCATCGGGAGCCGGCTTCAGGCTAAGGTAGGCTTTTAGGGGAACTTGCACTGTACGCTCACCTGAATTTGTAATGCGAGTATTACTGGGTATTTTCTCTGTATCATTTTGGGCTCGAATGACTTGTAAGTTTAGGATGAAAAGACCCTGAAAGCCTGCTGATGCCCATCTGCCTCATCACTGTGGTAGGGGATGGAGGTTAAGGCAGGTTGTGCCTTATACACAGTCATGGGTTCGATGCAGCAGAACTTTCAGAAAACCATGTTCTTGAGAAGCTGAGTCTTTCTTTGAGTGCTGTGTTTAGGGACTCACTATAAAGTGATAGTTTTCAACTAAATATGTGTATAGTTAAGAACTGTTGCCCAAGAGATAGCTCAGCGGGTAAAAGTTCTTGTGACCAAGCCTGATGACCTGAGTTTGATTCCCAGAATGCCTTCCCCAAATGCTGTGATTTTTAGTATATGCAGAAGTTGTTGTTACTACCAGAATTATCTAATTTAAGAATATTTCCTTCACTGCTAAAGGAAACTTTGTACCCATTAGCAGCCACTAAACCACCCTGTACTTCCTTCCCCCCCTCCTGAACACCATGAACTTTTTTTGTTTCTATAAACTTACTTTTTAAGGGACATTTCATATCAATAGAATCATACAGTATGTGGTCTCCTATGGCTGGCTTTTTCCACTCAGTGTAATATCATGAGGGTTTATTTGTGTTTTAGCATGTAACATTATTTCATTCCTTTATATAGCTAAGTAATATTCCATTGAATGGATGTATCACATTTTTTAACTCTCCACATTTAGATTGTTTCTACTCTTTGGTTATTGGGAAAGATGTTGCAAGCAATTATATCTTAATGAATCAAATATTTGCTAAGAGCATATATTCCATCTATTGCCTAAGTTTGGATTAACAAAAATAAGACTGTATTCTTAGGTTTACAAAACTGACCCTAGGCCAGACATGGTGGCACATGCCTTTAATCCCAGGACTCAGGGAGGCAGAGGCAGGCATATTGCTATGAGTTTGAGGCCAGTCTAGTTTGAGGCCAGTCTAGCCCCTGGTCTACAAAGCCAGGACAGCTGAGGCTATACAAAGAAACCCTATCTCAAAAAAAAAAAACAAAAAAAAAACAAAAAACAAAAAACAAAACAAAACAAAACAAAACAAAAAAAAACAGAAAAAGCCAAACAAACAAACAACAACTAAAACAAAACGAAACAATGATCCTTGATGGGGCATTTACTATTCATAGTCCATAAAGAATGAGGTAAAGAAGCAACAGAAGGTACTGGCTCCCCAACACAATATTTGGTGCTGACTCCCCTTTCTCCTACTGATCGTGCTTCTCCCACGAATTTTTAGGTGACCAACACACAGATATTCCAACTCCAGTTTCATTCTGGATTTATACCACTGGACACAACCGTCCTAAAGTTCACCAAGTAAGTGCTGCGTGGACCTGAGGTCTTTACCAGTATTACAGGACAGCCCTGAGCATCTGTAATGGCATGCTGCCATCTCCAGAGCTCTGAGCAGCAGGCTTCACCACAAAGAAAGGCTGCATGAATTTGAAAGCTTTCATTTGAGTATGGTTGATCTTAAGAAGTGCAAATAGATCCACAAACTAACCAGAAAGGTCTAAAGTTCCATGTCAGGGAACAAAGAATTATGACCTCGACCCTTTGCATTTTTTTTTGTGGATTCCTATGCCCAACAGGAATAGCATAGTTTAATTTCTGAGATAGCATAAGCAGTGACTCGTCATAAGGAGGGCTGGCTATAGCACCAAAAGAGGTTCTAGGGAACGTAGCTGCGTCAATTATTGTCCTGAGGTTGCTGTAACATGACGTGGCTATGGATTTCGCAGTGTGGCTGTATCTGGGGTGATGGGGGTTGTTGCTGGAAGCTATGAAGGGATTCAGGGCTTCAGGCTCAAAAGGTGGCATTGGGCTTGTCTCATTAATTTTGATGACCCATGTAGCCATGCCAATGTATACTGGCAGGTGTATCAGCTCTGCTTTTCACGGTGCTTTCGTTAATATGGCCCAAAGGAAGTCAAACAATTTGAACGAGTGTTATTCTCCTGTTTCCTCTAGGTGGGGAAACTGAGGCATAGCAAAGTGACACCTAGTTAGTGACTGAGTCTACCTCGAAGTGAGTTTCAAGCAGAACTCAAGTCAGCTTGGGCTGGGCCCTCTGTTGGGCATCCTGCTGGCTGCACTGTTTGTGCTGTTGTTTTTCTTTCCTCCAGGCCTGAGCTGGATGCATGTGATGTACCGGAAAAATATCCTCAGCTGTTCCAAGTGACACTGGATATAGAAGTCCAGCCCCAAGACAAAGTGATTGACTTAACTCCACCATGGGAGCACTACTGCCCCAAAGATGTGAACCCCAGCATTCTCTTCTCCTCTCAGCAGGAGCACCAGGAGACGCTGGCCTTAGGAGGTATAGCCATGGCTGGTTTGGGTTTTCCGGTAGAAGCCTCTGCCTCGCCTACTGTGCTGCTTTGTTCCCTGTGCTTGGTTGACCACGTGGCTGTTTGTCTTGCAGGTCAGGCACCAGCAGATCTCCCTCCAGACCATCCCAGGAATCTTGGGCAAGGTGGCTTCTTTGCCTCTCTCTGTTGGCAAGGTACAGCAAAGCCTTTACCTTAGAATGGTTATGTGGTTAAGTGATTAAACTGTCTGGTATTATTAAAAGTCTTCTTGAAGCAATCTCAACGAAAGTTCCCTTCTCCCTTATTGCAGACCCTTCCCTTCATTTGTTTTTTCAAATTGGCGACTTGCCTGCTCTCAAGTCCATGAGTGCTTAGACTGGCCAGAAAGCCAACGCAGGGTGAATTCTATCTTCTTCATTTGCACAGTGTTTCCAGCCACATCTTCCAAGACTGATGGAGTGTGGTGTATTCTAAGATCTCTCTTTAGGCTGCTGACAACTCAGAAAGATTAACAAATTATTCAGTTCCTGCCTTCAGGCGGATATTCTAAAGACACAATGTTGGGCTTCTGTCAAGCGCTATACCTCCAGCAAGGCGGGGTGGGTCTTCCCTGGCATGGTGAAGGAAGTCAGCTGGCCTGTATCTGCCAGTAGCTTTAGCAATCATTAGCCCACACAGACCTCCATCACTGTGCTAGTTTCTCCACACCTGGAGGCATTTCCAGACTCGTTCTCAACCTAGCATTTTACATTACTCTCCTGAGGGGGCAGCCATTGGCATTCTAGTTAGTGTACATTGGCCATGCTTGCTTTGAAATTTGTACAAACTAGCTACAAAGTGTGATAGAGAATTGAATAGTCAAGACTTTATGTGCAAAAGACGTGGGAATTCACCTTTAGAGATGACTTAGGTAACGTTTACATGATTGACTTTGCTCTGTCATATGAATGTGACAGTATTCCTATAGCCTGTGGGTATTTTTAGTGTTGGATTAAACGGTATTCACATGATTCCTTTGGATCAAAAGGTTTGCTTATAAAGGTTTCTCTTGAAAAATGGAATGGAATCCTCTCAGACTTGGAAGTCCAGCCAGATGTGGCTTGCAGATAGATGGCTGGCCCCTTTTGGTCCTTACTTGCATCTTTCTCATAGTAATGGTTTCTAATAAGACATTACTCTTCCCTTCCCATTGCCATGTTAATATGTAGAGATAATTTCTGTACGGGCCTGGAGAGATGGCGTAGTGGTCTGAGCACTTGAAACTTTTACAGAGGACCATCTGTAACTTCCAGTCACAGGGGCTTTGATGTCCTCTTCTGGCCTCTAGAGACACCAAGCACACACACAGTATCCAGGCATACATACACAGGCACTCACACATACACACAAAACAAAATCTTTTTAAAAAGAAAGAGTCTCTGGAGGTGTGAGTAGGTTTTAGCACAGATGTATTCTCTTACCTGTTTGGGATTTTTGCAGTTTGCAAAGGTATGTAAAATACATCACTTAACATCGCCATTTGCATCTCATATAAACAACCTGCAACCACTGTTTCCTCAGTGGGACATATAAATAATAACGTGAGTGAGGCGACAGAAGCCTGCAGATAACCTCATATACCCGTGCTGAACAGACACTTCTGCTGAAACTCACACCAAACTTAGATCAGCCCCGCCCTTCCTTCAGAGCCTTGTATTTCAGAATTGGGATTCACAAGTGTGAACCTACCTGTGGTATAGGCAGGGCCTGTTTGGAGAGAGATAAGGGAGAGCTGTGGAAGAGCAGGGTTTGGAAAGGCACATGAAAGCTTTCCATTTTTCTCCAGCGGACGCGGCTTTCCTAAGCCTATTTGGTGTGGGAAATATCTCCTTTCAGGACTGTTGGAGGACTGGGAGGCAGAGCCAAGTAGTTCACTTCTTAGGGTGTGTTGCTTCTGCTTCGGGTCACAGGGAGAAATAAAAAGCAAGTGAGGGGTGCCTGCAAAGGCCTAGGTGTTACTGTCATTTTCTGTAGCACCCCGCATGGTGCCTGGAATCAGCATTGAGGTGCTACTTGCTGTTGATCTGAGCTCAAAAAAATACATCAGTTATTGTACTTGGTGGGGGTGAAAGCACTGTCTGCTCCGGGCTGCCAAACTCAGGTTTGAAAGGACTGGTTTGCTCGGATCTTCTCTTTCTGCAATGACGTGCACACAACTAAACGCACCTGACCCAGTGGCCGGCCATCCAATCATTTATTTGCACTTTGGTCTTTCGTAGATCAGAAATCAGAGAAGTCGTTCTGCGAGGAGGACCACGCTGCCCTGGTGAATCAGGAAAGTGAGCAGTCGGATGACGAGCTACTGACCCTCGCTAGCCCGCATGGCAACGCCAACGGCGACAAGCCTCACGGAGCCAAGAAGCCCAGCAAAAAGCCGCAGGAGCCAGCTGCTCCCCCTCCCCCGGAAGAGGTGGACCTTCTGGGTCTGGAAGGGTCTGATGTGAACACGAACTTCTCTCCCCTGGCAGCTCCTCCCAGCAATTCTGAACTGCTGAGTGACCTGTTTGGGGGTGGAGGTGCCACAGGTCCTGCTCAGGCAGGACAGGCCGCGGTGGAAGACGTGTTTCACCCCAGCGGACCTGCGTCTGCGCAGTCCACACCACGCCGAGCTGCCGCCTCCGCCACCGCATCGCCAACCCTGAGAGTGGGCGAAGGTAATCTTCCCGTGTTTCTCGGCTTTCTCAGATTTCAGGAGTGACTTTTGGGGCAAACGTGTAGAACTCATATGTCTTAATAAGCTGAACTTCTCTGGTTTCTTCGAGAGTTCATTCGGAGAACGTAAGGGAAACACGTTGTTTCCCTTGTCCATTTTGGTAGAAAGGTATAGGGATATGCCTGAACTCTTTATTCATTCATTCATTCATTCATTCATTCATTCATTCATTCATTCATTCATTCATTCATTCTGAGAATTTCATACACGAGTGCTGTATTTGCATCCTCTCACCCTTTCCCCTTTCCTCCTCCAACTCCTCCCATGTCCCTCCGACTCCCATCTCAAATTCATAATCTCTTCTTTTTTAATTACTATTGTTATATCTCCGTCGGCCTACTCAGCCCCTTTCGTGTTGCTCATCTGTGTTTAGGACTGACTACCTGGAATTGGGTAACCTATCAGGGAGCTCATCTCCGGGAGCCAGCAGCCTTTCCTCCATCCCCAGCTGTTCATCTACGGGTGGATAGCGCCTTGTGAAATTTCCTCTGTCTGTGCTGTCGTGCCCACTGGTGCTGTGTGGGTCTTGCCCAGCCTGCCGTATTGTTATGATGTCACCGGTGCAGCTTTCCTGGTGCACCTAGAAGGCGTTACCTCAAAACTCAAAGCAGGCATCCTGATCCCTGGGCTTAACTCTTGCACTCTCAATTTTCTCTGCTTGGCACGTAAGCCTTGAGTCTACTTTAGTGATTTCTGCTTGGAGATAGAGACGGATGAGCTATTAATTTACAACGGCAGCTGATATCTGTTTGATACTAGCCACTTGCCAGATGTGGAATACATGATTGAATATGACTCAGTTCTTATGAAATCCAGTAGACAGGGGCTATTGCCGTCCCTGCTTCATAGCTGAGGAAATGGAAGATTAGCGCTTAATTAGCAGCATTTGTTCAAACAGCTGGGAATGGATGGCCCCAGGGTCCACACTTGACCTGTGGACTCAGCTTTTCATCAGACCCCTGTAATGCTTACCTTGAATTCTAGTTTTCCAGATATATCCTGACTGTACAGAGAAGTGTTTGGTTGCATCAGAATATGCTTGAGGGGCTCAGGCTGGCAGCATAGCTCGGGAGAGAAATGTGTCTGGGCTTTGTAAGGTGTCTGAGCCATGCATACTTAGCTAGTTTCTCTTGACACACCGCCACAGTCCTTTCCTGGCCAGCCACAGCATTGACATTTGCAAGATGATGTAGCTTTGGTACCAGAGATTCACTACAGCTTCTGAATAACCAGAACAAACCGGCTCCCACTGCGAACTGTCAGGGTTAACCAAGCAATGCTGCCTTAGAAAGGGTAAAGAGATGAGTCTCAACCGTGGGCGCTATTCCTTCAGCTTCTCTGGAGGCTCTGGGCTGGTCTTGGCTTGTGAAGGTCAGCTGGATGCCTCTTTTGTGAGAAGGGGAATCAGAACCACAGACCATGGGTGCAGAGTTTCAATTGTCGGTGGCTGGATGTGAACCTAGGAACCTGCATCCTATATGGTGGCTCTTTCTTCTATGCTTTGCTTCCTTCCATCTAGTTCTGATTTATCAGGATGAATAAAAGGTCCATCAGGGAAACAAAATGCCGAGGTCAAAGGCAGCATAGTGTTCCATAGCTGAGTTTTAAGACAAAGCATCCTAAGGATGTTTGATAATTTAACTCTCCCATGCTGCTAGGTGTGTGTATGTCAGAGCTGAAAGGCACTGTCGGCATGAATTAATTCTGTCTGTGAAATCGGAGATATGCTGAGCCTACCCAGGTGTTAGTGGAAGACCCAGCTATGTGGCTCAAGTGTTCTGTCCCTCCAGAAAGAAACAGAAGAAAGGATGCCAAGTCTAGAATTAGTGGCCTGCATTTGAATCACAGGACTAATTATCTGGGTGACTTTGTTAAAAACTTAATGTGGCTAGGTGTGGTGGCACACACCTCTAATCCCAGCACTTGGAAGTCAGAGGCAGGTAGATCTCTATAAGTTTCAGGCCAGCCTGGTATACACAGGGAGTTCTAGGCCGGCCAAGGCTACGTAGTGACATCCTGTCTCAAAATCAAAACAACACAGCAACAAAAACCCTCTTAGTTTTCTTAGTTGGGGATAATGCTTATGGGGATAATGGTAAGGGCTAACTCATCCACATAATTCCCATTTTGTCTTTGGTTACCGGAGAATTTCTAAAACGAGCTGATAGTAAAGGTGCTCCAGTAATCTAAAACGTCTTTAGTGTCTTCTCCATTGATTAGCTTCAAGCTGGACATGACCAGGCTTACCCACTGTCCTCTCATGTCCTTACATTCTCATGTCAGAGAGGAGGAGGTCTCACGAATCCTAAGTGGGGCAAGGATTGTGAATTCTGGAACATGCTGCCTGAAACGATGTAGGTATCATCGCTACTGCAACAAGCCCGATCTGCTGACCCCCGGGTGTTGGGAGAGCGCTGTGCGGGTAAAGTCATAGCTGTAAACTCGTGAGCCATGTTTCCCTTCGCATCGTGACAGTGGGAAGTGTCTGTTTGCTGGTTTGATTCTCAGGCTCTATTTCTAGATTGGGTCAGCCCCAATCCAGGAAAGCCAGCCGTCATGCTCAGCTGGGTGCTTACGGATTTGGAAGTGATATCTCACTTTAGGTAGCTTGACGAGATTTTGTTCCTTGCTCAAGAGCGAGAATTCAAGAGGGCAGGTGTCTCCAGGCAGCTCGGTGACTGGGTCACGTTGCTTTCGTGACTCTTGCTCGTGGGGGTTATCTGGTGTTTAGAGCTGGAAGACTTGAACCTGAGTCTAGCATAGTGTTCCCTGGATTGGACAAAAGCAAATTTCCGTACCTCAGTTTCTCCAGGGATGAGTGAAGGTGACAGCACTTCCGTTTGCCAGGGAGAAATTGAGGACCACCCAAGGTCTTTTTTGTAACACAGGATAGCTCCAGGAAGATTCACTATTGCTGACAACTAGGACTTCCCACCTTCTTAACTCCCTTACAGCTTTCTCTAGCTGAGTGGTTCCCGTCCTTCCCGATGCTGTGACCCTTTAATACAGTTCCTCGTGTTGTGGTGGCCCCCAACCATAAAATTATTTCATTGCTTCTTCGTAACTGTAATTTTGCTGCTATTATGAATCATAATGCACATGTCTGTGTTTTCTGATGGTCTTAGGAGACCCCTGTGAAAGGGTCATTTAACCTCCCAAAGGGGCCGGAACCCACAGGCTGAGAACCACTGCCGTAGCTCCTAGCATCCCGTCGAGTCAGAGTTTTAGAAATGTTTGTAATCTGTGGATTCAAGAAGGGATGAGAGTTCAGCTTTACTCACTGATCTCATTTTGTTCCATTTTTAGCTTTCATCTGAGCTGAAGGTCAGTTTAAAACAACATTAAAGCCAGGCCTACTTAGCGGTGTTGCCTTTTTCTTTTGAGATAGGTCTTACATGACCCAGGCTGAGCTTGAACTTACTTCTTAGCCCAGGATGACCTTCAACTTCTGATGCTCCTATTTCTACCTTCTAAATTCTGAGATTTCAGGCATGCACCACTATGCCTAGTCTTGCGTGGTGCTGGGGATCAAACCCAAGGCTTCATGTATGGTAGGCAAAGACTCCACCAATTGAGCTGCATATTTAGTTCTGCAGTGCTAGGAGTTCCCCCTGCATGGTATTTTCCCACAGTTCCTTTTACATAAACACTCATTAGTCACCAAACCCCTGTGGCCTATACCTAGTTGGGCAACTCATGGATTATCTGTGTTGAGTTTTTTTTCTCAGGCAGTCTGTGTCTATAACTTACTGGTCTTATGTTATTAATATCTTCAAAAGCTGGCTTGGAGAGAGAGTTCACTGGGTAAAAGAGCTCGTGTCAGAGCCTGAGTCTGAGTCCCCAGAGCCCACAAAAAGGTGGGTATGTAGGGTGGGCATCTGTAATCCTAACACTTCTGCAATGTGATGGGAAGTAGAGGCAGACATCCCCAGGAGCTCCAGACCTGAGGTAGGAAGCTGAGAAATGAGACCGTCTCAGACATGGCAGAAGATAAGAACAGATACCTGTACTGTGGTGTGGTGTATACACACACACACCATACACACATTCACACATACAACGCACACATACACACAAATGCACACACATACATATGCACACAATACATACTTGTACCACACACACCACACAGACACATATATACACACATACACACAATACACACCACACAAACACGCATACATACATGTACACTCTACGCTACACACAGGCGCGCACACACACAGGATTTATAAGAGCTAATTAGACCCTCATTTAGAGTTATGGCTTTTCTAATCAATAAATCCAGACTCTTTCTTCTCCGAGGTAGGGTGATTCCATTGTGTCAGGACCCACTGTTGGTTCCCGAGAAAGCTGTAAGGCTGGGAGGGGCTGAGGGAAGTCAAGAGGAAGCATCATCTTTATCGGTCAAGTATCTGGCCAAGTCATAGCGGCCGCCACTCAGTATTAACAGCACTGTTAACTGACAGGATGAAGAGATGCGTTTTCCCTTTGTTTTCTAGGTAGCACCTTTGACCCCTTTGGAGCCCCTGCTAAGCCACCAGGTCAGGATCTGCTGGGCTCCTTTCTGAACACCAATGCTTCTAGCGACCCCTTTCTGCAGCCCACAAGAAGCCCTTCCCCCACAGTGCACGGTAAGAAGGGGTTTTCTCCTTCATTCGGTGGAATAGTGGAGTGGTTTTTCACAAGACTACACTAAGTGCCGAGATGTGAAAGCACCGCCACTGTGTGTGTGTGTGTGTGTGTGTGTGTGTGTGTGTGTGTGTTTTCAGTCCCACCTGTAATGCTAGTTTAGTGACTGAATTCTACCGATTTTTATGGGCAAAGTCCTAGGGAGGGAGCCTTTCCTCCAACAGCACATTTTTTGAACGGCCCAGAATATTAAGTATAGAAGGAGGGTGCACAAAGATGAATGAAACAGTTCTTGCATTCAAAGAACTCAAATTTTAGTGAAGACAGACATGTGCACAATTATAATTCCAAGTTGGTGCATCCAGAGGTAACATAAAGGCGAGCCAAAGAAGGAGCAGAGAAAGCCGATGCTTCTACCAAGGTCTGGTGAGCACGCATAGATGAAAGCCATCCCCCTCCCCCCGCTGTTGCAGAGTGTGTGTGTGTGTGTGTGTGTGTGTGTGTGTGTGTGTGTGTGTCAGGGGGTGGGGCGTAGGGGAGGAGGGACGAGTCCATGAGATACTGCGTGTGAAGCCACGCAGGCTAGCAAAATATGGCTTTGCTCTGCGCAAACTCAGAGGAGGGGGTTCTGAGAAGTCTTGTTCTCATCTGTCTTCCCTCTGTTGGCAGCTTCTAGCACACCTGCTGTGAACATCCAGCCAGATGTTGCCGGAGGTTGGGACTGGCCTACCAAACCAGGTAAAGACCAGCAGCTGATCTTTTGTACATATGTGCCCAGTACCAAACGCATGGCCTTCACACAAGATGAGGTGGATGCTGATAGTCCTGAAGATCTGCATTCTGGCAGCAGTTTTCCCAGTGCATTTGGTGACTATTTAACTTTCCAAGACTCATCTGCTACAGAATTAGACAGATCTGAATTGGTTCTACCACTTACACGTTCCTGGAAAAAAACTTTTTTTTTTCCTTTTGGATAAGTCTCAGCTTTACTTTTCTTATCTGAGAGATGAGGCTAGCAATGTTTGTTTATCGTACCCAGCAGAGTAACTGTAAGCAAAACAATGTAGGCGCACTCTCCCTCACTGCTCATGACTGAAACTCCACACCACCACGTAATAGCTCCCGTAGCCTCCTTTCCCTAGCCCCAGATACCCAGCACCCTACTTTCAATGAGTTTGACTGGGTAAGTTCTCTGCTAAGTCACAGCATTTGTGTTTTTGTGAGTGGCTTATGTCATTTTACAAAATGTCCTGAGGTTTATCCACATTGTAATCCATAAGAACATTTCTTTCCAAGGCTAACTCACATTTCACTGTCCACATAATACCACGTTTTCCCCCCTGCCTTTCATTTGCAGTGAAAACATGCAATGACCACGGTTGTGTTCTGTCTCTTTGAGGTTCTTATTTTAATCAATATCTTGGATATATTCCCAGGAACATAGATGCTGGATTGTGATGCTTTTTAGTTTGTGCCTACTGCTTCCCACAGTAACTGTACCATTCTCATCCCCTCCCATCATGTACAAAGATTCCAGTACCTTCTCACTCTCACAAACACTTGTTATTATATTTTTGGCAGGTGGCAACTCTGACAGGTGTTTACTTGATTTATATTTACTCTAACAATCAGTCATTGTGGTGATTTGAATAAGAATGACCTCCATATGCTTATATATTTGACTTAGCTAGACTTGGTTGGTGAAGCTGTTTGAGAAGGGGCTGGTGTGTCCCTGGGAGTGGGCTTGAAGTTACAAAACCTCACCCCATTCCCAGTTTGCTCTTTATGCCCCATGCTTGTGGATAAGATGGAAGCTCTCAAGTATTACTCCATCACTGTGCCTGCCCATGGCCTTCCTCCCAGCCATGATGGTCATGGACTCTAAGCCTCTTAACTGTAGGCTCCATAATCTTTTTCTTCTATAAGTTGCCTTGGCCATGATGCTCCATCACACTAATAAAAAACTAACTAGGGCAGTGATGTTGAGAATCTTTTTATGTTTTGTGACCATTTGTAAATGTTCTTTGGAGAAATTTTCTTGGCCTATTTTAAAATCAAGTCACTTGTCAATTTATTATTAAGCTTTTTAAAATATATATTCTGGCTCAAACTCCTTATCAGAATAATGGTTGGCAAATATTTGTTCCCCATTGTATACTTCACTTTTTTTTTTTTTTTTACTCTGTTGACTACTCCCCTTATCATAGAGGTTTTTCTAGTTCAACTTGTCTACTTTTTGCTTTTGTTACCTGTGACTTAGAATTTTTAAAAATAAAACGTTCTCATAGCCAAACTTTGGGCAGAGTGCAGGGAATCTTGTGAAAGAAGGGGGAGATAGAAAGACCTGGAGGGGACAGGAGCTCCACAAGGAGAGCAACAGAACCAAAAAAATCTGGGCACAGGGGTCTTTTGTGAGACTGATTCTCCAAACAAAGACCATGCTGGAGATAACTTGGAACCCCTGCAGAGATGTAGCCCATGGCAGCTCAGTGTCCAAGAGGGTTCCCCAGTAATAGGAGCAGGGACTGTCTTTGACCTGAACTCAGAAGCTGGCTCTTTGATCACCTCCACCTTAAGGGGGAGCCACAGAGGAAGACAGTGTAGCTAGTCCTGATGAGACCTGATAGGCTAGGGTCAGATGGAAGGGGAGGAGGACCTTCCCTATCATTGGACTGGGGGAGGGGCATAGGAGAAGAAGATGGAGGGAGGAGGGAGGGGGCTACAGCTGGGATACAAAGTGAATAAACTGTAATTAATAAAATTAAAATTAAAAAATGTTAATGGGCTGGAGGGATGGTTCAGTGGTTAAGAACACACCTGCTCTTGTAGTGGGCCCAGGTTAGATTCCTGGCACCCACATAGCAGCTCACAACCATCTGTAGCTCTAGTTCCTGGGGACCTGATGTACTTTTCCAATCTCTGTGGGTTTTGCCAACACAGGGTGCACAGACATACATACAGGCCAAACACCCATGCACATAAAATAAGGTATCCATACTATACATTTTAAGTTAAAAATGTTGTTGAAGATGGGAAGCAGGCTCCCCAGGATGGCAGGGGGAGTTTAGATCCAGCCTGACTCCAGATCTCTGAAGACAGAGAAAGTCAGGATGGGAGCGATAAACAAGGGAAAGAACATGCATGGACAAGGACAGACACAAGCCTGAGCTGTGTCTTATCCTTGTTTCAGGTCACCACTTGCCCAGATTGGAATAACAGGATCTAGGGACTTCTCCCACATTTCCAAACCCCATCCTAATTGGCCTTAGGGACAGCTGAGCAGGTGCCCTGAATCTCTGGTTCTCCAGCCGCAGGGAACTAACTCTTCTTCAATGGTCTCCATTCCTTTTCAGGGGGTTTTGGAATGGGGAGCAAATCAGCCGCCACCAGCCCGACAGGCTCGTCACATGGCACCCCCACACATCAGAGCAAGCCCCAGACTCTGGATCCCTTTGCTGATCTGGGAACACTAGGTAAAACTTACCAAGTTAAGATGTGAACAATAATACCTGATGCTAATGTCAACTGGCAGGGACACAGTCACAGCTCTGCACTGTTCCTGTGACAGCGAAAGACTTGCCCTTAATCTCTTTGGAACCTCAGCTTGGGTAAAACTGGATCCTTGGCCTCAGTGCGAACCAAGAGTTGGAGTTGAAGCACTAGTGTTAAGGGAAAGAGGAGTACTGGGGAAGAAATTAAGATATGGTTGAGCTCACTAAAGTAGAGCCAAGTGTAAGTATCTTAGTATTAATGAGGTTGTAGAATGGCTCCAGAGGCATCTTGGATGGGATTATAATCTGATAAATAACAGCAACAGCAATAATAATAATAATAAGAATAAGAATAAAAATAATGTAAAAAACCAGAGTTACTAAGGTTCCACAGGGAGTGCAGTTCATGCTCTTTTACTATAAAGGAGTTTTCAGGTGAGATTCATAAAATAGTGAAAGTTTTCCACTGGGAAAAGAGAAAGGCTTTCGGCAAATACTCATTATGTTAGAATTCTTTCTTTCTTAGCCAAGAACAAGCCAAATACAAAAGCAGTGGATGGAAATAAATGATTAAGATTGGAAATTATTGAAATAGAAATAAACAAAGTAATACAAAAAAATAAAACAGTGAAGGAACGAATTGATAACTAAGATGGGCAAATCCTTCACCAAAGTAAAGAAAGAGAAGACCCACATGAATACAACTAGAAATGAAAAGGGAGAAATTATGACAGGCATAAATGAAATTTGTAAAATTATGAGAGCATATTTTAAAAACTTATATTCCATTGAATTGGGAAAGCTAGAAGAAATGGTTGCATTTCTAGACGATTTGACCTAACAAAGTTAAATAAACATGGAAAACAATTCAAGCATCTCTATAACAAGCAAGGGAAATGAAGCAACGATCTTAAACAAACTACCCTCCCAACAACGACAAAAACACCAAATCTGCAATTGAAAGCCTCCAGGCTGACTTATGCCAGAGCATTACAAAATAGTAGTACCAACCTTACTCAAAGTAGTCCATAAAATTAAAAGAAAGGTACACATCCACACTTTTTTTTTTTTTTTTTTTTTTTTTTATGAAGCCAGCTTTATCCTGATACCTAAACCAGATAAAAACACAACAGCAAAAATTTCCCTGATGAAGTTAGGCAAAACAAACAAACAAATAAATAAAAACAAAACAAACCTCAGTAAAATAGTTGGAAACTGAATTCACATAAAAATGATCATTCACGCTGATCAATTCAACTCCATTCCAGAAATGTAAGGGTGGTTCAGCATATACAAATCAATAAATGTAGTACATCATATAAGTGGATTCAAGGACAGAATTATTGACAAAATCCAACATCCCTGATAACAGTTTTTGAAAAGCTAAGACTGGAAGGAACATACCTTAATATAGTAAAGGCTCTATGTGACAGTAAAGCCAGTGCTAAATGGAACAAAAATGAGACAAAGATGTCCACTTTCTCCACCCTTATTCAATATAGTGCTTGAAGTCCTAGCCAGCATGATAAGACAGGAAAATTAATTAAAATGGACATAAATAAGAACGGAAGAAGTTAAAAGCATCCTTATGCTATGGTATATGGTTCTATACATAAGCCACTAAAAAGACTCCTCCAGAAAACTCTTGCTGAAGTTGATAAATGCCTTCAGCAAAATAGCAGGATAAAAAAAAATAACATATAAAGTCAGTATCCATGCTGTATAATAATAATATTCATGCTAAGAAAGGCAACAAATCCTATTCACAGTTGTCTCAAAAGCAATAACAGAAGTTCACAAAACCTTTCAAATAAACTAACCAAGGAAATGAAAGCTCTCCATAATTGGAAACCTTAAAATATTTATGAAAGAAACTGAGGAGGACATTAGAAGATGGAAAATCCTCCCATGCCCATGACTGAAAGAAGTAATGTTGTAAAAATGGTCGTTCTGTGAAAAGGCAATCTACAGATTTAATGTTACACCATTGAAAATTCCAGTACCAGCACTAGAGAGATGGCTTAGCAGTTAAGAGCACTGGCTGCTCTTCCAGAGGACCCAGGTTTAATTCCCAACATCTACATGGCTACTCACACTTGTCTCTCACTTCAGTTCCAGGGGATCAGACACTCTCACACAGACAATATAAATTAAAAATAAATTAATTCATATGGAGTCACAGAAGAGCACAGATAGCCAAAGAAATATTGAGCAAATATAATGCTTCTGGAGATGCCACACTCGACTTACTACTGCAGAACCATAGTAATAGATACATTACTATCTTTGTGGAGTTGACACAAAGCCAGAACTGTGGGTCAGTGAAATAGGACACCTAGAGGTAACACATGCAGCTACAGCCACATGCTTGTTTTTTTAATTTGTTTGACAAAGATGTCAAAAATATACACTGCAGGAAAGGTAGCATTTTAAACAAATGGTACAAACTGGATATCTATGTGTACAAGAAAGAAAACAAATCCCTGTTTCACTTCTCATAAAAACCAACTCCAAGTGGATAAAGACCTTCATGAAAGTCCTGAACTCTAAATCCATTAGAGGAAAAAGTAGAGAAAACTTTTCCTCAAGGTGTGTACACAGGTAAGGACTTTCTCAAGAGAACTGCAGTTGCTTGGGAAATATTTCCAAAACTTAACAAATGGGACCGTGTGAGATTAAAAACCTTCTGTATAGCAAAGGGAAAGTTAAATGAAGATATGGCCTATAGAATCGGAGAACATCTTTGCTAGCTTTACATCAGACAGTATTAATATCTAGAATATAGAAATAAATATAGAGTAAAGAAACTAAGCAAAAATAAATCAAACTCAAGTTGGGCAGTGGTGATACACACCTGTAATCCTAGCACTTGGGAGGCAGAGGCAGGTGGTTCTCTTAGCTCAAGGCCAGCCTGGTCTATAGAGCAAGTTCCAGGATAGCCAGGGTTACACAGAGAAACCCTGTTTTGAAAAACCATCTATCAATCAATCAATCAATCAATCAATCAATCAAAGTCAGTAAATGGACTTATAAAATGAACAGTTTTCAAAAGGGAGAGTGAAAATACTCAATAAGTGATATGGAAATATGTTCAACCTCACTAGGCATCACAGGAATTAACATAAAAATTGCAAACATCCATCTTACCCTAATCAGAATGAATGTCATTAAGAAAACAAATAAAAACAAATGCTAGTGAGGATATGGACAAAAGGGAACCCTTACACATTATTGGTGGGGATATAAACTAGTAGTCCCAGTGGAATTTGGTTTCTCAGTTTCTATTTAAAAACAAACAAACAAACAAACAAACAAACAAACAAACAAACAATGTATTTTCCATATGAGCGTCTCTCACTATATTAATGAGCTGACATTTTACTTCAAGGATCTCTCTCTCTTGCTTTCTCTTTCCTTTTCCCTCTCTTTTTTCTTCATTCCCTCCCTTCTCGTTCTTACTCATCTATCTACTTATCATATCTGTCTATCTATCTATCTATCTATCTATCTATCTATCTATCTATCTATCATCTATCTGTCTATCTATCTGTCTGTCTGTCTCCATCCATCTACTTTCTGTTTATCTGTCTGTCACTTATGCCACTTATCTCTATCTTCAGGATAGATTAATGGGTTCCTTTTGGTTCAGTGGGTTAACAACCATTTCTGGCATTATTAATTTTGCTATTCTTCCTATCCTTGGTTTGTTTTATGAATGCTCCTTTGCCTTCTATGTCTTTTCCTGCAATTCTATCAAGTGAAAGGAAGAGGCATCCTCCTTGATGGGACAGTGGGATGTTCAGGCGTTTCCCAAGCTTCTTACACGCCAGCGCTAGTTGTCTTTTTCCTAGGTGCCTGTAGTCGTTTCTGTGGGGGATAAGATTTAGAAGATAAAATCCGTGTGCTCAGTATAATAATCATTGCTACTGGAGTGTTTTTTCTCTCCCTTCTAGGAAAAAAGTGTGTGTGTGTGTGGGTGTGTGTGTGTGTGTGTGTGTGTGTGTGTGTATCTGAGTAGATGGTTCTTCCTTGCCATCTACTCCACATGTGGATCTTCCATTTCTTCAGATTGCAGTTTATAGCCAGACAATCAGACAGCATCAATACTTTCAGAGTAGCTAAGCCTATATCACTACAAACAATAACCCTGCTTGTACAGTTTGGAAATGCAGTAATTCTCACAACCCCCTTCTCAGAATGTGGTTTCTTACACTTCTTTTTTTAAGCTATACAGCTTACAAATTCAAGCAATTTTTCCTGTTAAGGTCACACAACGAACAGACACATCACTGAGAGCTGTAAGTCAAAAATTTTCACTCATCAGACAACACAGCAGCAACTCAAAAAAACAAAAACAAAACAATGACAATAGCCAGAGGCCTTCTTAAGGTCATTCAGTTGAACCAGTTCTAACACAAACATCAGTGCTCAACTCCTCCCTAGATATTCAGAGGTAACTGGCCTAGATGTAGCCTTGTTGTGGGATGGAACTTTATGTAAGCTCCATAAAGTGCTGTCTTCTGAGATACAGCAAAAATGGCCTCCTGGAAGGAGCTAATGACTGGAGTTCACCTTTGATCCAAACAAAATCACTTAAGCCAGAGTCCCGGCTTAAAAGAGGATGACAAGGGTGGCTTCTAAGTTGAAACCTGTGATATGATTAGGATATGGGGAGAGAAAGGAGTCCAGTCAGAGGGGAGGGAATGTCTAAAACGACTGCTGGTCAGAAGACCTGGGATCCGTGGGGATAGGGGTTAGAGAAGGGGGCTTCAGAAGCTAAGATTGGCTCAGAAAGACTTCAGAATTGCTTTACTGTAACTTGTGTGCAAATTCAGGAAGCAGTTAGTTTTGTCCCTTAGGAAGATTGTCTGAATTCAGTAATGGTGGAAACTGCTTGCTATTTAATAGAGGAAATGAGTAGAAATTGCTGACAGGTCAAAGGAAAGTTAAAGGACCAGGAAATTTTAAGCCCTCTCAGACTCGTAAGGGTGTCTCAGAGAAAGGCCACCTCCATTTTGAACCAATAAGCTTTGGTTTCCTCATTTGATAGGTATTTGTGATTATATGCTCTTTGCTAACCATCGTTCCTGTTCAGTGAAGCTTACGGTATGGCAGGAGAGAGGAACATTAATCAAACAGAAAATACCTGCTGCATCGGTGCTATGTTGGATGAGACATTTAATGAAAAGTTCCCTAGATAATTCGAAAGCACAGTCAAGGCTGAAAGCCAAGGCTTCTTCAGCATTTTTTGAGGATGGCTGTGACCTGCTTTGCTGGGGTTTAGGCCAGTTCACTGCTTGGCTAGCATCAGCATGCAGAAATGTCGCATGTGAACATATTCTGGAAAGTTAGACATTACAGGCTCATACAGTGTTGACAGGCTCCATGAGCGTGATGTCCGTGCCCACCATTTCACTGCTGGATCCACACCCTGGCGTGTAGAAGATGCTCAAAGCAGTTCCTAAATGAACGAACAGGCGATGGGAACAGTGGAAATCCAGAGGGTGCTTTGAGTTCACGAGGCTTTCTCCTATACACAGGAGATAATCAATCAAGTGTTAAAATGATGAACAGATGTACTTAGAACAAAGGGAGCATCCTTAAAATAGAAAACGAAAACACAGTACAAGATGAGTACCCAGCCTTACACATATGTTGCAATGCTAGGGACAAGAGGGCCCAGGAGGCCCTGGAAGAGGGTGATTTGCTGCATTTATTCTCAAGCACTCTCAGTGAGGCAGGGGAATCACCAATTTGAGGCCAGCCTGGAACACATGGGGAATTTTTAGACCAGGTGAGTTACATAGTAAGACCTTGCCTCAAGTGAAGTGGCGGTGATGGAAAATGACAGGGGCGGCGATAGACTCGTGTGCCAGCCTGCTGTTATTGTTTTCTGTGGTCACATGCTTACTGAGTCCTTACAAAGTGTAAAACATGCGGTTAACATTGTTCTGGGTTGAGGTCACTTAACTCTGGGGCCGTGAAACACTTCATGCAATGGTTGTGTGTTTCCATGATACCTCTGATAAAGACGTAGCAATTTTATGGCTGAGAAAAATTGAAGCCGGTGGAAATGGAAAAAAATTTACCTAGCTTTATAAAAGCAAGATGACATGTTTGTGCATAGTCCCAGGGCCCGGCATAGTACCTGGCAAACGTCAGATATTCAACAGCTGCTGGCGAATGGCTTAGAATACGTTCATGAAAAGTGAACGGTGCGTGACTGCCACCACTGAACTCCCACAGGTTGATTCTAAATGCAGCAGTTACCTTACAGCGTCCTGCTGTGAAAGGGAAGAGGACATGGCTAGAGAGGAAAGACAGTAAGGGTTGGCTTTCAGTAGCGGCTCAGAGCCTTGGGAGGAACTTGAGACTGGGGACAGAGGTGCAGAGGCAAGATGCCCGCGGTCAAAGCATCTCCATTAACCGGCTGTGTGACGACAAACTTGTCAGTGAACCTTAGTATTGACTCCCTTCTCTCAGCACGCTGTGAAGAGCTATATGAGTGATAGTTGTTTTATTATTATCATTATTTTTGGCTCGTTGAAGGGTCTTTGGAGATTGCCACATTTCAACTTCTCATTTTACCTGCCCATTGACAGGTATTTTACCTGCTTAAATTGACATTTAAGCAGAACTCTTATGAGGCCATCTGTTTTATCCTGTTCATGTCACTTGGTAGTTTTTTTGTTTTTTTGTTTTTGTTTTTGTTTCCTGAGTCAGAGTTTCTTCATGTAGCCTTGGCTGTCCTGGACTCACTTTGTAGAGCAGACTGGCCAAAAACTCATGTTGATCCTCCTGCCTCTGCCTCCCTGAGTGCTGGGATTAAACGAATGTGCCACCATGCCCGGCTGATAGTTCTGACTCTAGTAAAGAAATACAACTTGCTTAGAAGGTAGCAGGCTGGGCAGGATGGCACAGTCCAGAACTCAAAAGGTCAAGTTCTAATGTTCTACTGTATTCTGGCTGTGTGATACAGATAAATCCACTAAAGCACTACGGGTTGCTGTTTGTTCATCTGAAGAAAAGAACAAGGCAAGGGTACTATCTAAAAGTCTCAGTGGGGTGATTAAGGAAATGACATATATTCAGGTATACTCTCTTCCTTACCTGTTAGGAAGGTTAATTCTGTTAATCACCCCAAACATTTTCCACTATAATCACTGCACCAAAATCTTGCGACCCGAGTCTGAAGCCATTTCAAATAGCCTCACCGCCTCTCTCTCCCTTTTCCTCCACAGGTAGCTCTTCATTTGCCAGCAAACCCACCACACCAACGGGACTGGGTGGAGGATTTCCTCCTCTCAGCTCACCACAGAAGGCATCCCCCCAGCCAATGGGTGGAGGCTGGCAGCAGCCTGCCGGATACAACTGGCAGCAGGCACAGTCCAAGCCACAATCCAGCGTGCCTCACTCCTCTCCCCAGAACCGGCCCAATTACAACGTGAGCTTTTCAGCCACGCCTACAGGGCAGAGCGAACGTGGGAAAGGATCTACTAATCTGGGTAAGGATGATGGGATATGCCTGGTATAGACGCCCTGCCTGTGCTGTCCCAGTGTCGGGGATGTCACAGAGGTTGATGAGATCGTCATAGAGTTGAAGAGACATCAGGTGATCCACCCCAGTACTGTGTGTGGAGCACCCAGGCCTACCGTGACCCCACACTGGTGTCATGTAAGTGCTGGCTCACTCATCTTTCCTTCTCCATGCCGGAGTAAGAGCAAGGTGTTTGTCCTAAGGTTTTAAACCTAGCACAGCACTCGCTGTAAGTATTAAATACATGTTGATTGGGTGGGTAGACGGGACATAAAACTATTTCCTTTAGAAGAAAGGAAGTACTCTTAGGAGAAAAAGGATGAAAACCTGTCAAAATGACACTAGGCGTTTTCCTTGGACCCAAGTGAAAGGAGTGGCTGGTGGACTCCTGAGAGTGTGTGTTGTGTCTGTGATGGTGCCATCACCTAGGGCTGGAAGATGTCCTAGATTGGAATAAATTAAAAACAAACAAACAAACAAACAAACAAACTTGTTTTTAGATTTATTTTTATTTTATGTATATCGATACTTATTTTTGTGTATATATGTACGCCATGTATATGCCTGGTACCCAAGGAAGTCAAAAAAGGGTTTCAGATCCCCTGGAACTGGAGTTATAGATGGTTCTGAAGCACCGAGTGTGTGCTGGGAACTGAACCCAGTTCTTCTGCAACAGCAGCAGGTGTCCTTATTGGCTGCGCTGTCTCTCCAGCCCTGCTAGATTAGAATCTCATTTGACGTGGATATAAAAATAGTATCTGTTAAAACTGAATTTTCCAGGTAGTGTCAGTATACTTGGCATCTCGGTTGGTTTGATGATTCCCTTTGGGGAACATGGCCAAAGGTGGGTTCTCCTTCGCAGTGGTCAATAGGTATTGAGTGCTTCCTATGTGCAGGAGTGTCGTAGGCATGCTCCCGTATTATACTGTCTTCAAAACCAATACTTGCACGTGCTGGGAATGTGTGGCCTGGTGTTTATTCTTCAGTTATCAGGGGAATTCTCTAGACACTTTTGTTGAGCCATGTGGCATCCCCTTCATTTTCTGTTTGGAGAAGATGGAAGATGTCTCCCAACCAGGAAAAGAACTACTTTGGGTTGATCACTCCGTTTACTATGCGGGCCCCTGCGGTTTTGTTCTGTTTTGTCTTCACAATAACACTGAGATAACCAGGCGTGCTTTTATCACATTCTCATGGCAGCACTGTATTGTTAACATCACCCTTGTGCTCTAGATGAAGAAACTAAGGCATGAGTGCCTGCAGTGTTCCTGTCGTTATAGCTGGATGTCAGACATGTAGAGTTTGGTTTTAGGATCTGGCTCTTGAAAAAGATGGAGAGAGACTTAGTCCGCAACCAGACTTGCTGGATCCACCGAGCCCATCAGCTGGGTATAGACAGGAAGTGATAGCCGGGTAGAATTCAGGGACTCAAATCTTGGCTCCTGTCCAATCTCTGATATTGGTTAGTTATAACCATTATAGAATCATGAGTATTTTCATCTGCAAAGTTACATTGGAGATGAAATAGGTTTTAAGGATACAGACTCCAGGCCTGGCCTTGCCGTACATGTTGTGTGATTCTGGAGTGGCTCCTCAGGTCCTCTAGCCTTCCATTTTTCTCATCTGTTGTACAGTCTTAAACATTCCTCACGCGGCAACTATAAAGAGAGCGGGTGTATGGACAAACTATTTTGAAGCCCTGTACTCCCATGAAGTGGGGGTTTGACATTCCTTTTTAGAAAAAAGTCCTGATGATTCCCCAATGTTATGTTCCAGACGGGAAACAGAAGGCTGCTGACTTTGAAGACCTGCTTTCTAGTCAAGGGTTCAATGCCCACAAAGACAAAAAGGGGCCTCGAACAATAGCTGAGATGAGAAAGGAGGAGATGGCTAAGGAAATGGATCCTGAGAAACTAAAGGTGAGTGGGCCCCTTGACTATCCTATAGGACAAAGATGTGTGACAAGTCATGGATGTCTGGTCACCTCTAGCTACCTTTATGTTGGTCACTAGGGACTAAGTGCTTGATAGATACAACTTTGAGGAAGGAAATACTTATTTTGGTTCATGGTCTCAGAAGATATCAGTTTGCTGTAACTAGAAGGCCTGGCAGTGGGAGCATGCAGAATGTTACTTAGAAGCAGACAGGAAGCACAGAGAGGGGCTCTCCAGCGAGGGGTAGGGAGGTAGAACTAAAGTCCACTCCTAGGGAGCTAATTCTACTATCTCAGCCCCCTGCAGGTTCCACAGACCTTCCAAAGACCATTCACCGGTGCACAGGTGCTCAAAACATGAGCCTGTGGGAAATAATTTAAATCTTAACACCTTCTAAGGGCCCTACGTCCTAATGCCACCCACCATCTTGAGTGTTAAACTCAATACAGATGAGAGTGGGATACAGACCATATCAACTCAGGAGGGCACTTCACTCTGGCAATCATTGTATTACAGTGGGACCCTGAAGCTGTGGTTTGAAGGCAGCCATGCTCTTCATGAGCAAAGCATCTCTGGGAAAGTTTGTGCGCAATGCTTAATTTGCCCACCAGATGAATAATGATATTTGACTGTAGCTTGAGACCTTTAGGTTGTTAAGGATTAGTCACTAGAGAGTGGTGAGATTAAGTCACCATTTGTATTTCCTGTCCACCTTGAGAACTTTCTGTTGTTCTTGGATGACTGAAGTCCAGTTTCAGGTCTCTGCTGATCAAGAGAAATATTTATGCACCCAGGATTTCCCATTCTGGAGATTTTAGGCACAGGCCCATATAGGCTGAGGAAATGAAAGCTAATGATGGTGAGGACCCCTTCACTTTAAAGTAAAGAAGCTCTATTTTTTCTTAAAATAAAAATTAAAAACCTCATACAATAAGGATATCTGTTCTTGACTCTAAAGTTCTGGGTGAGAATCAGTTTAGGGGGAAGGGAGAATGATTTTTTTTTTTTTTCACTTTAAAAGAAAAAGGAATTTTGTCACTTAGTGAACCCAAGTTCCTTAAGGAGGTGAGCCGTTCTTCGCAGGTGAGGCCTAGTGTGGAGAGCTGGATCCAGTCAGCCTGGAGACTAAGGGTGGGTCTGAAGATACAGTGTGAGGTTGTGGATGAGGTACATAAAGATCAAAGAGTTATAAGGCTTATGCCAGTTGGAGAGGTTGACTCATTCATGATAGAACATTAAATATAATGAAAATTACAGTGGCTTTGTGTGAAGCTGTCTCCCTCAGGCCAGCACTTCTCACATTGCTTTAGAAACAGCAGACTGTGGCACTTTTGCTTCATATCTCGGCAAATTTAAATATCAGCTGTGCATGAAAAGATCCTTTGAGACCTTCTTGAATGCGGTAAAGGATCCGTATTTTTGCTTGCTCTTCAAATCACATGACATCACAGAAGCTTAGTGTGTCCCTTTCCAAACCAGTGTCTACCACCGTAACCATTGCTCATTAGGCAAACTCAAGACAGTTTTCTACAAGAGAAAGCCATTTTGTCTGTATAGCCCTGTGTGATTGTTTGGTTGGCATAGGATTGGCGTAGGATGGAGAGTAGCCATCAGTAACCTCAACTGAACCATTACCCAGAAGTACTCACTCACTGAAGCATGGGTACATGTCAAATGCTGATGACTCTGTGATTCCTGCTGTCTTAGTTACTATTGTTCTATTGCTGTGAAGAGACGCTATGATGGAGGCAACTTATAAGAAACATTTTTTGGGCCTCACGGTTCTTGAGGGTTGGAATCCACTATCATCATGGCAGGGAGCCTGGCAGCAGCAGGCATGGCTCTGGAGCATTACTGGAAGCTCATATCTGATCCACAACAATTAAGTAGAGATGAGAGAGTTAACTGGGAATGGCATTGACTCCATTAAAACAAACAAACAAACAAACAAATAAACAAAACCTTAAAACTCACCCCCACCTTTTCTAACAAAGCTGCATTTCCTAATTCTTCCCTAACACTTCCACTAACTGGGGATCAAGAACTCAAATATATGAGAATATGGGGGCCATCCTCATTCAAACCACCACAGCTTCCATTTAATCACCTCTTTTATTCATGCCATGAAGGTTCTTAGTTCTAATAAGTGATTTAAGGAATAAATTCAGTTAATAAACCTTCCAAGCTCTAGTCTATGCCAGGTCTCCTGAGATTTAACGATAAGAAATAGTACCTTTCCATGAAAACCCCCCTGTATTGATGGAAAAGGGATCGCACACGCTCCATAAAGTGTGACTTATATGACAAAAGTACAGTAGGTTAGGCCACATTTTTTAAACCCCTTGTGATGGGAGTTAAAGCCAGGGCAGGTGTTCTACCACTGAGCACAACTTGGGCTTACAATGGAAGGAATATTTATTTAGTTGATGGAGCAAAGTAGATTCAGGTGTGACCTCATGCAGTTCATGTTAGGAGTGTGTGATCAGCTGTAGGGAGGCAGAGAGAAAGGAGCTCAAACCGCAGAGGTGAACCTTAAACAATGAGGTAGAACAGATGGGGGAGGTGGGAGGTGAGGTGGGATGTGGGAGGCTGGTCCAGTTCCAGGGGGCTGCTTGTTCAGCTTCAGGGAAATGGGACAAATCTTTAGAGTGCTGGTAGATAGAAAGCATTTGAGTGTCATACCCCCTTTTGTGTTTCCTGCCTGCAGATCCTAGAATGGATAGAAGGCAAGGAGAGAAACATCAGAGCCCTGCTCTCCACGATGCACACCGTACTGTGGGCCGGGGAGACGAAGTGGAAACCTGTGGGCATGGCAGACCTGGTGACGCCAGAGCAAGTGAAGAAAGTATACAGGAGGGCTGTGCTCGTGGTACACCCAGACAAGGTGGGTAGAGTCTGCCCTGCCACAGACAGCTCCGTACTTGTTTCAGAGTTGGCAAGCGTAGGATAAAACAGCGTGCTCTCAGTTTGCTCATTGGCTAAGACACTTCTTTAACAAAACCGTGGGGTATTTGAATCAGGTATTTAAACAAATAGTCATACTTCGTGAGGCTGTCGGAGGGCAGTCAAAGCATCTTTTGCAAACAGCAGGAAAGCATTTTATCTACTATGGAAGTGCAGCACGTACCGGTGGCTTATTTTAGGGGCTTGTAAGTAATCTTGAACTACAGCAATAAAATGAGACTGAACACTTCACAGAAGAAAATGCCGTGGAGGGTAGTATCACATTTAGCCAGGATTTCAGGAGATGCTTCAGGGTGCGTTTGGAAAAAAAATATTGGTGAGGATCAATAAGATTTTAAAAACATCAATGTGTGTTGCCATTGGTTCTCATGGTTTGGATAAACTACCAGAGCACATAAGGGTTCCACAGGATCAGAACTTCATTGTAATTTGCAGCAGTGCACCAGATTGAGGTACATCAGACAGACATGGGCCACCCTGCTGTCATATGGACTGTAACAGACACGTGACATGAAGTTGTGATCGCAGTGCTTTTGGGAATGCATGTTTGCAATCCATAAATGATTCCCATCTCTCTGCACTCCATATGACTAAAGAGGATAAGTAATGGGGCACAACATTAATACTTGGACTTTGATCAGTCAAAGGAGTAATAGGAGGCCAGAGAAATTAGCAAACTGCCTTATTATGAGTCTCAAAGACCTTAACTTTACAGAAACTGGAAAAGGGGAGTTTGGAAATACAGTCATATGGAGACAGGGTTGTCATTAACAAAAGGTGCATCTTTTGTTGCCCACGAGGCTCCCAGTTTTTTCCTTATTGATGAGTTTCTGTTCCGTCTGTAAGTTCCCAGGGCAGTGCATAGTAATTAATTCCATGTAGATGGGATATATAAAAAAAAAAAAGGAACATCTGAATGAAAAAGCATTTTAATTACCATCCACATTCTCAGGGAAATTAATATGTTTAATTTTGGCCCATGGTATCTAACTGTGTTTTGTGTTTTCTCTAGGCTACTGGGCAGCCCTATGAGCAATATGCGAAGATGATTTTCATGGAGCTAAATGATGCCTGGTCTGAATTTGAAAACCAAGGCCAAAAGCCCTTGTATTAATTTGTGAGCTTTTCTACGCTGGCTGCAGCCCTGTGTTATTGCTTAGTGTGTACCACAGTTCTGAGATTTTCACAGATGAACCAAAAATTCCAGTAATGTATTTCCAGTACTAAACCGTTAAGTTCCTCATGAATTCATTTCTCATGGTAAGGAATGTGAATGTTTGGTTTCTTGAAGTCCATAATACTGAGGGGAACACTAAGCTGATCTTGCAGAGCTCTGACATTCCAGCCTGCCCTTGGGAAGCCTACCCAGCATTTTGCCTGGGGAAATGAGACAGAGGCCACCCAAGGCTACGGCATGCCATCTCATTGTCTGAGATCAAGATTTATGAATGGATGTTATGGTAACTAGATTTCGTAATGGTTTTAAGGAATTGATTTAGGAATTTGTGTGTGTGTGCTCGTTTGTTTTTAAAGATGTAATTTGAGCAATGGCTTTGCACAAAGTCCAGGAATATCACCAACCAAGTATTTTTAAATGGAAATTTACTGGAGCCGTTAGCTTTTTTCGTGTGTGTCTTTTGGTCAAGATCATTAACAATTCTATAAGTTGCTGGATGGTGGGAGGTGATTACACAGAAATTTAGGCATTAGCGCTAACTTCCTGGACGAGCTACAGGCCCAAGCTCATGATAACTAAAGAAACCCAGGGGCCTTGAGATGTCAAATCTTGATTCCAGGTCAAGACATTGGGCTGCTGGCTCTTTTCCCCTTTAAAAACCTGTGGTTGATTAAAGAAAATCTCTGAACACTCCCACAACTCCAAACCTATTTGAGGGCCCATTCTAATTGCTGCCATGAGGCTTAGTGCTCTTTCTTTTGCTTAGCCAAGAAAACATTCCTCATGGGCCACAGTTTGTGAAGCAGTTTGGCCCGTTCACAGTTCGTACAGACCTGGTGTTCTGGTGATTGCAAGCTATGGGAAAAACAGAGGAGATAACACGGAGTGGTTAGGAGAAGGGTTTGCTTGGGGAGAGAGCTGTGTGTGCCTTCAGATCCAGTCAGATAGCTGCAAGCCTGAGGAACCAGAGTCCCACCCACCCAGTGAGCCTGGACCCTCTGGGATTATTTCCGATGAGTAGGCTGCGTGTGGAAACTATGCAAGAACGAAACTTTCCCAGAAACTCCAGTGGGTTGGAATTTAGTCCAGTGCTCAGTGCTCCTCAGTTGGCAGGGTAAGCAGCTTGGACTGCTGGGACTTCACTAGGTCTCCCGGTGACCACACATGCGGCATCTATCTATCTATCCATGTATGCGTATGTATATGTATAATGTGCACATATACATTCACAAGGCAGGTGGTCAAAGAGATTACCATTCTAATCTTAAAAGGGTTCACGCTCAATATTGTGAAAAACTTTCAGCAATTGTTTTTCAGGGACAATCATTTCGTTTGTTTCTGTTCTAATATTCTTGTGGCAAACTGAACCGGAAAAGCAGCATGTCAGAACTACTTTTGGTTCTATATAGATCTTTCTTCTCTTTCGCTCTCTCTCTCTTTCTTTTTAAATTATAAAAGTTCATTATTTATTTTACCTTTTAATGATAATGTGAAATTCTCAAAAAAAAAGTTCTCTTTTGAATATACAGCTTTAAACTGTTCAAAGTAGCCATAACAACCTAGGTGTTATTTATTAATGTATTTGCAATGATGTCTGACCCGGTATGTGCTTGTCCTATTTAAGATTGGAATGTGAGACATGTTGCTGTGACCTGTTTTATTTATTTATTTTGCCTCATTCACATTTGCAGATATTGTGTGAACTACAGTATATAATGACAATAATTAAGAGGATATTATGTGGCTGTCATGTACATTTTGAAATAATAGAACTATATTAGCTTTATATCATGTTTGCATAGCTCATTAATGTTCACGGTTTAAATACCATTAAATGTAATGCGATTAGCAATGAGAAGGAACCCCTTCTGAAATCTGGGGGTTTCCCACCTTTGTTTCCCAGATGCATTATGATTCTGGACACCTGTCTATCTCAAAACTCTTACTATATGCAGACCACTGGGTTCTGCATTCCTTTAAAATACCTGGTTGTGACAGCTTGTTGTTGGTCAGATCTGCCATCTCATTCATATTTATTGTAATATATTTTTGTCTTGTAAATACATTAAACACAACAAAATGTCATTGTTCTAAAATATTTGTAATGTATATTAAAAAGGATAAAAATACTTGCAGAAATATATGTTACTTTTGTACTTGTTGGAATACAAGGGACTAGAGCGATGACTCAGTGGCAAAAGTGCGTGCTGCTCTTGCAAAGGAGCTGACTTCGGTTCTCAGCACCCACACTGGCTCACTGCCAGTAACTTCAGCTGTAGAGGGAGGGATGGCCTCTTTTGGTCTCCACAGGCACTTGCACTGATGTCCACACACCACCTTCCCCATATACATGATTGAAATAAAATAGATCTTAAAACAAACAACAACAACAACAACAAAACAATCCAAACAAAATGAAAAGGTCTACATGAAAAACTTGAAAGACACCTTCTAACCTGATTTGCTTATAAAGACTGTTAAGGGGAAAGAATGTGAAAAGTACAGAATACATTTGCCTCAAATGTAGAATCTTGTCAGATTCTATATTTATAATTTTATTTCCCAGTATCACTCATGTCCTGAGACCGACACACACACACACACACACACACACACACACACACACACACAGAGTCATGTCTGATGAATACTGTGTTGCAAGAGAAATTAGCATAGACCTCCTGTTCTCCTCACTAGAATGTTGATGCATTTTCAACCTCATACTTCTGTGCTGAGTCGGAGAGATTGATCTATAGTTTGGGACTTTACCATAGAACAGAAATGTTGGATATTTTCATTCCGGAGGATGGAGAGAGCATGTGCTCATTTGTAGACACACTATATCAGAGCACTGTGCTTGTGTATCTAGAGCAGTGCTTCTCCACCTTCCTAATGTCCTGACCCTTTGATACAGTTCCTCATGTTGCCGTGACCCCCAACCACATAATTATTTCATTGCTACTCTGTAACTATAATTTTGCTGCTGTTATGAATCGTAGTGTAAATATCTGATATTCGGTATATCTGATACACAACCCCTGTGGGAGTTGCCACCCATCGGCTGAGGACCATTGGTCTGGGAGGCTCATGTCAGTACCAGTGCCGCTGGTGAGAACACACCTAGTAAGAAGTCAGCACAAAAGCTGAATTCCAGAAGAAGCTACCCTAGTTGCCATGCTGGAAACACCAGATCAGAATATGTAGGTCAAATAAAGAGCTTCTTTCTTTCTTTCTTTCTTTCTTTCTTTCTTTCTTTCTTTCTTTCTTTCTTTCTTTCTTTCTTTCATTCTTTCTTTCTTTCCCTCTTTCTCTCTTTCTCTTCCTTCCTCCCTCCCTTCCTTCCTTCCTTCCTTCCTTCCTTCCTTCCTTCCTTCCTTCCTTCCTTCCTTCCTTTCTTCCTTCTTTTATTTCCTAAAAAGAGACCATGCAGTTTTTGGAATGTGTTGAATACTGATTTTTTCCCCCCACTTAAAATATGTTATATTGATGCATACCTTAAACCCTGAGTCCTGATTTCATCATTTGTGAAACAGATTCCTCATAACTCTTGAGTGGAAGAATTAGGCACCACGTGTGTAAATCGTTATCACACGGATGCTGGCCAATAACTCTTGCTGCTGTTAATGATAACAGTTTGTAGCATTGAAGGAACTAGAGGGACTACAGAGCTGAAAGTACAGGGAGACCTCGAGTTTAAAAATAAATACAGGAATAGGAAAATCTGCTGGAAACACTTTGTACTTCTTCCTGTCTCCTTGGGGTGGGGTGAGATCTGGGTGTGGAAAATGGCAGATGCTTGTAGGTTCTGTAAATGGGATAGCTGTGGGCAAGGAGGGGAGATGTGCTTATTGATTTCTGTTAGTGTCATAGCCAGCTTCCGTTTACAATGGGCTGACCTTAGAGCCTGCTCTGGGCCAGATGTGATGCCTTGCTGTGGTCTTCCACGTAAGAGCTGGGGTTTGAGAAGGGCATTTTCTACGGACTAGGGAGAGGTGACGCTGTCTATAGTGAACTTGCTCATATTTGCTATGTCACGGCTCAGAAAATGACTACAAACTGAAGTTCCCAGAAGCAAAATTTCTCCCTTCTTCCCGTCTCATATCCCTCATTCTTTTCCAGGCAGAGCACAGAGATTAGAATTCATCTTTGCCAAGGCAGGTCATAGAAACCATGCCCTTTTCCCAAAGCCAGACATAAAACCTAAAAGCACCCTTAATCTCCTCCCTTTCACCATAAGAGTTGACCATCTGAAGTTCTTTCACCTTCTTTGATTGTAGGTCATTGGGTTACTCACTATTCCAGGAAGCACGTTTTGTCATATCTGGAAGGAAGGAAGCAACCAAGAAGAATGTGAATAGACAGATCTTTTTAGGCTTCCTTCTTCGTCCATTACTGCTAGATGAGACTCTTTTTTGGCCTATCATATTTCTATATGGCTGTCAAATGCTTCACCAAACCTACATGGAAGAATGCACAGCACACTCAGACATCAAAGTGAGTCAGCTTCAACCTGCAGGCTGCCGCGTCAGTTAAAACTATGATCAAATAAACTTGTTAATGATTCTTCTGTTGTCATCTGTCTTTTGGTGTGGTGTTATTGGCCATGAAACTTTATGAATGGGAAAGAGAGCCTTCCTTTTTTTGCTCCCACAGTTAATTTAACGAACCTTTGGCCCGTACTATTGACAAGACACTTAGGCAATATGTATATTAATATGAAATCAGTGAGCTGCTTTCAGTCCTCTCCTAAGCATAAGGTGTCACTCTCCATCTAGCTTTCTCCTCCCCCTCTTTCCCCTACTCACCATTTTTCAGTATTTTCTCGACAAGCCTTGGGAATTCATACTACACCGTGCTTCTGATAGCTCTGGCAAACCCTTCTACATGGCCTTTCATGGAGAGCTAAGGATGGGAGGAGAATGGGACATTTTACATCCTGCAACCTAATCATTTAAGTGGGAAAACCTACCGGTTGGAGCAGTTTTCTGAGTGCTTTTACAGGCGCCTCAATCCCTCATTTTCACCAGGTATATTGTCCGTGATGCTGGCAGATGCCTGACACCGCACACCCTATATACACTTTTATCCTACACACACTTCCACTGGTACAGTGGCTTATTTTGTCATGGTTACAGTATGATTAACAATATAAAGCAGAAAAAGTTATATTGCAATAAGTTATGCAAACGTGTTTCTCAAAATCACTTATTGTACACGAGGTCTTAGTGATCTGAGCATGTATTTTTTTTTCCCTTTTCTTATAAGTTTAAAACTTTTAGAACTTCGTGGTTTTTGTCTTTCTAACTTTGTCTAAAGAGCTGTTTGGCACAGTTCCTATCCTTTCTGAAGACATTTTGGACTGGATGGTTCCTAAGATGAAGATTTCCATGAAAAAAGGTAAGAATAAAATGGCAGGGGCTAGAGAGATAGCTCAGAGGTTAAGAGCATTGAGTGTTCTTCCAAGGGTCCTGAGTTCAATCCCCAGCAACCACATGGTGGCTCATGACCATGAATAATGAGATCTGGTGCCCTCTTCTGGCATGCAGGCGGAGGAGGGAAAATTGGCCTTAGTTATTTGCAGACCCAAGTTGCAAATAATAGCTTTTTAGTTAAGGACGCAGGAGAACTTCAGACCCAAAGAGTCTGTAATGACTGAAGGAGATAGACGGACACGGTAGTTTACACACAATGTTAATGTAGCAAAGCAAAGCTAGCAAATCTATGCAAAAGTTAAGATCTCAGGAAGGGATGCCTCTACGCCTGTTTTCTGGTGCCGTCACTCACCCCCAATCCCTGCTAATACCAGCTACACAGTTGCAGAAAAACACACAAGCACACAGGAAGAGTCGTCCTGGTAAGGGGGGGGGGGGCATCTAGTCCTGTACTGAGGTTAATTTCTCCCCGTTCTTGCCCTGCGCCTGACTTTTTCCACCTGATTTCTCAGGCAAGTTTCCTAGAACCCAGCCAGGGTAATGGCAGTCTAGAATCTCCTCAGGCAGCGTCTATGCCCCAAATCACCAGGGAGGTCTGATCCCCAAATTGAGGGGAGGGGGTTGTGATTTCCAGGACCCCTGAGGAGTTAAAATGAAGGGTTTATTCTGAGGTAATGACGGTGCCGAGCGAGCTTGAACTGCTTGAACCAAGTTCCGAGGGGCAGGAATTCGGGTCAACAGAGTCCGGGTACGGGCGGCGGAGGCGGGACCAGGGACTCGGGATCCGTACAGGAAGTGCTGAGCGCTGGTAGGACAGAGTCCAGCCTAATTGGGTGTGAGATTGTGAGTGGCAGAATCCGTAACCAGTAGAAGTCAGGTTCGGCCTGGAGGCGTGGCCTTCTGAGGGCGGGGCACCGCCGGCTGAGGGTGGAGCTCAAGGATCAGGAGGCGGGACCTATTCAAGAGCTGGTCTGGGAGCTTGGGGGCGGGGCCCCGCGGGGCGGGGGCGGAGCCCAAGACCAGGAGGCGGAGCCTGGACGAAGGGGCGAGGCTCCGTTGGTTGGGTGGGGAGCTAATGCTGTGAGGGGGCGGTCCCTGCGGGGCGGGGTGTGTCCTGGATTCGCGCGCCGGCCCCGGCTAGTCTGGGTGGGGACGGCTTTTAGAGAAAGCCGGAAGCAGCGGCAGCCCCAGCTCCAGGGACATGGCGGGCGTTAAAGGTACTCCGCGACCCCCGCCCGCGGCTGGTGGGTGGGGTCGCTCCGGGCTCCGAGCAGTCCGGCTCGCGGCTCGCTGAGTGTGTGAGCTGCTGCTAACCCCGTCCTCCCGGGTGCGGGTGTGCTGCAGAGGTGTTTCCTGGAGCCCACCAAGCTCGCGCCCACGCCCACCAGACCCCTGGCCAGGGCTTCCTTTGTAGCTGTGTGTTCCACTGCCGTCCCCTGGGCTTCTCAGCTCCCCGAGGGTCACACCGGGATCCCACATCCTCACCTTCCTGCCCTCCGCAGTTTCCTGTGGCTTACAGAGGAGCCTTTGTCTCCAGGATGGGTGTTGGAAACTTGATCCTGTTGTTCCTTAGGGCTTTCTCGCTGGGCAGAATTAATTCCGGGCGTGTGGCTGTGGAAAGTAACCAGAAATACTCTAGTCTTCGCAGCCATGGTGGGGCTGTGATTAGGTGGGATCTTAACAAGACTTTCTTGAGTGTTTTCTTTACTGTCTGTGAACAAAGAAGTGGGTGTGCTGTTTGTGTTCTTGAATGGTGATAAAATTACCACCCTGATCTGTATGAAGGCCGAGCAATGGTCGTCTGCGCAGGCATGAAGTTATTGGAAGGCTTCCTGTTATTTGGACTTCTGATCATCCGCACAGAGTAGACTAACTTGCTTCTGTGTTGGACTTCCTTTCCTTGAAAACTGTCCACCAAGACCTTCCCACTTAGCAACATGTGTCCAGATGGACACAGTATATATTCTTGCGGGTGCTGTATGACTTTCTCAGTGTGAGCAGCTAGTAACAGACATAGCTGATCATTTCTGGAGGACTCTTCTATTTCGTTATCAGCTGAGCAAACGTGGTTTACTTGATCAGTGTTCACTGTATACTATATCCATTGGAAGGCAGTGCAGAAAACATGGAAACCGGTGTCTTGCTACTACAGAGTGTTTAGTCATGACCAGAAAGCACAAAATAGTAACAGCAGTTTATGTATGAATGTGCTTGTGTGGTGATAAGGAACACGGGCTATGAAGTAGACAAGAACTTGGCAAAGTAAAAAATTAGCAGCTAATCTGTTACTAAGAGACCATACTGGAGAGTTAGGATAAAAGATAAGTGAGAGGTTTATACTGAGTTGATGGCTTCAAAGGACTACATTGCTGTGTGAATAAATGAGGTGTGCTCAGAGACAGTTGGGGACATAGAGACGAGATAGTGGGGTGAAATTTGCCCTTTAAAAGAAATGTCTAAGTTGTAACTCCCTAATAAGTTACAAAATAAGGGTGTGACCTTATTTGTGAACAGCAGATATTATCAACCTGAGGTAGAACTGCCTTCTATGATGTCCTTCAGATAAGAGGGACATTTGTACATAGAGACTCACAGGGAAAGAATTAAAGACAGAAGCAGAGGGTCACAAGGTAGCTTGTTGCCAAGCCTTAAGACCTGAGTTTGATCTCTGGGACCTACATGATAGAAGGAAAGAACCAACCCTTACAAGCTGTCCTCTGACCTCCACCCTGGTACACACCTATAAATAAATAGATAAACTTAAGTAAGTAATTAAAAAAAAAAAAAGAAAGCAAAACCAGTAACAAAAATGGGAGTGTTATAGCTGCAAGTCATCAGTAGTACGGACTCCAGCAGCACTGGGCACTAGGCAAGGAAGCTTGTTCCCTACAGCCTTTGGAGAGAGAATGGCCCAGGCCACACCGACACCTTGATTTTGTAAATCTAGCCTCCAGAACTGAGAAAATTAATTTCTCTTGTTTGGAGTCACCCAGTTTGTGGAAGTCCCTTGTGAAGCTAACATGGATGGCCACTTCATGGGGGCAGGGCCGACGGAAGAGGCGATACTTCAGCTGAATCTACAGGGCTCTGTAAGAGTTGGATTGAGACCAGAATATATTCATATGACCAGGACAAGGGCCACGGGAGGCCACATCTTGTGTTTTTCTTTTTGTCAGGGTCTTGGAGGCAGGGTGGGGAGGATTGAAGTTGGAGAAGTTAGGGTCAGGTTGTAGTGAGCCTCCAGTGAGAGGGTAACTTGTAGGCTCTGAAGAGAAATGCAGAGGACGACACACACACCTGCTCCTCTTTGTGGAGGAAGGATTAGAGGATGCTCAGTTGGCAGCGGGCAGGTGGGAGGAAGGGCACAATGGCCACCCCTACACAGCAGCACAGAGTTCCAGAGAAGACAGTAGTGCTGAGTGAGGTCCTTAGTGGCTTTGGCTCTGTGGGCACAGTAGTCCAGAGTAGAAGCAGAGTTCCGAGGCTCTACTGTGGGCTGGAGCCTTTTGCTGGGAGCTTTGGGTTGAACTCAGCTTTGCAGAGGTCACGTGTAAAGAGAAAACGGATGGACTTGAATTGTCTGTTAGCTCCTACTGAAATTAAGAAATGGAGTGAGCTGGCAGGATGGCTCAGCAGGTAAAGGTGCTTGCCATGTGAGCCCAGTGAGCTCCGTTCAATCCCAGGAACCCATGGGAAGGTGCAAGGGGAGCACTGAGTTCCCAAGAAGGTCCGCTTTACGTGTGTGATAGCATACATGCTTCCTCCTACATTGTTCATATACATAAGTTACAAAGAGGGGGCAGACAGAGAATACAATTTCTGAATATACACACACACAGGACTCTAAGGCACAAAGCAGAAATAAGGTTTTGAACTTTGAGAGACGGTTTTGAAACAGAAATCTTCATTAGTTACTTACTAATTATACTAGGGATTTTTCAGAAGAAAAGTTGGGTGATTCAGTGTCCTGTGTTCTTGAGTTATCATTTTATCAAATAACATAGCCAGGTGAGTGGCAGCTTGCCGTACGTAGCCAGCACTGGTTGAGCCCCCTTTGTCCAGCACTGCGTATAGAGTATCTAATTTAATTTCCATAAACCCAGTGCAGTGGGACCATCATGGCCATTTTACATGTAAGAAACTAGGCACAGAGAGGGCCAGCAGCCTGGGGTCATGCAGTCAACTTAATACAGAGGCCACTAGATGGGGGGCATTTCCTATGAAGGCGTGGAAGTGCTCTTCCAATACCTGAAGTAGTTGTGCTTTGGGCACATGATCAAGGGTATATATTACATGGAAGCCATGTGGAATATAATTTAGGGAAAGAGAGCAGTCAGCGTTTAGAATACCCTACTGGTGTTCTCGACAAGCTCGGCTGACTGTCCTTCTCTGGCAAGTACAGAGAGAATCCGTGCGGTAGGGAGGGGCGGGTTCCTGCAATGGCTAGAGATCCTTCCACATGCGGTTCTAAAGTGGTGGACAGAGGCAGTTATCTTAATCACCTTGGGCCACTATACCAAATGAACCACAAGTTGGGTAGTTCCAATGACTTAATCCCGAGTTCGGAAGGCCAGGGAGCCCAAGATCGAGGAGCAGACAGAGTGAACGAGAGAGCTGTAGTTTCTTTCTCCCATGCGAAGGACACTGACTCTGTGAAAAGGACTCTACCACCTCGTCCTCATCTGGATCTAATGACGGCCTGAATGTGCCTGTGCCTGCCTGTTCCATCATAGAGTAGTATTCATTTGCTAGTCAAATGTGGCATCAATTAGCGAAATAAGTAAATCGCTACATTTGCTTAAATTTGTGACCTCTCCTTGTGTGTGGTGTGCATATCACAGCACACCTGTGGAAGTTAGGAGAGTGGCTGGCAGGAATTGGTTCTTTTCTTCCACTATGTGTGCCCTGGAGATTGAACTCGGATCCTCAGGCTTGGTAGCCGGTGCCTTAATCTGCTGCGCCACCCCTCCAGCCCCTCATGTCTCCTTTTAAGTGAAAATTGTTACTGAGATATATTCATATACCATATAGACTCAACCTTTTAAAATGTAAACTTCCATTGGCTTTGTCATATTTACAAGATCATCCTGCCAGCACTGCCATCTAGTCCCATAGCATTCTGTCATCCCTTGAACAAAACTCAATGCCCACTAGTGGTTTCTGGACTCTGCACCTCTAAACAACTACCTTTAACATTTAGTTGTGTTTTCCACAGCTCTTGTGGCACTATCCTTCAGCGGGGCAATTGGGCTGACTTTTCTTATGCTGGGATGTGCCTTGGAGGACTATGGGTAAGTTGTTTGAAAAAAGAAATTAGTGTGTGTGTGTGTGTGTGTGTGTGTGTGTGTGTGTGTGTGTCTGTGTGTTTGGGTGTGAGCCCATGAATCTGTACAGTTGTAATGTGTCTTCCTCATTCTCCTTTCTACCTTATCTTTTTCCCATCTTTGAGACAAGGTCTCTAAGTGTCCTCGGAGCTTGTTCATTTAGCTAGACAGGGCTACAAGCTATAGGAATCCTCTGGCCTCTATATCCCCAGTGCTGGTATTTCAACTGTGCACCGCTATGTCAGGCTTTTTACTTGGGCGCCAGGGACTAAACTCAGGTCTCTGTTTGCGCAGCAATCGCCTTACTGTACTGAGCCATTTCCTTAGCTCTCAGAGGAACTTCTGTCTGTGTCTCTGTTACTGTTACTGGCAGAGCCTGGTCAGGGTAGCCCATGCGAATGCATGAGTTAGTGAAATCTAGACTGGGCTTTCAGCCCCTTCAGACACCAGTATTTGTAGAGAGAAGAGCTTTTTTCAAGAAATGGATGTGTTCATTTAATAAGCAGTTGTTAAACGCTGAATGTTTAACAGCTGGGGGTGTGAGAATGAGTCATGTCCCCAGGGGCTTGCTGTTGTAGTTGGGAGGGAGAGATGGACAATTAATAGAGACAACAAGAGTGCAGAGGCCAGGGGAGGACGGACCTTAGAGAGCGGACATGTGCATTTCTCACCAACCAACAAGAGTTTGTCTGCATCACAGGCAAAGGGAACTGTCTTCATCTATAACCCGCTAAGGGGGATAGTCAAGCATGTAGAGCCAGCTCTCTGGGGCCTTGTAGGCCCTGTGGAGCAGGTTAGATTATGTGTGGCCCAGACAGCAGGAGCTGGGAAAACAAATGGCATTAGCTGAAACGTGAGGCTAGGTAGGAACGTGCTGACTGAGACTGTAGTCAGAGGATCCTGAGGGGCCACTGTAAGAGATGAAGCAAAATTGGGCCCTGGCGCCATGGAAATGGACCATGCAGGTGGCAGTAGATTTTATCCACTGATATCGGGGCTCAAATGAGTTCCTGCTGGCTGCCCGGCTGCCAAAGTGAGGGGCTTCAACCTAACATGTGTGACTAACACCAGCTGGAGCCATCTGTTGTGACCCTTGTCTTAGGTTTTTTATTGCTGTGATAAAACACCATGACCAAAAGCAACTTAGGGGAAAAGAGTTCCCTTCAGTTTACAGTTGTAGTTCATTATGCAGGGAAGTCGGGGCGGGAGTTCAAGTCAGGAACTGGAGGAGACAGGAACTGAAGCAGAGGCCATGGAGGAATTCTGGTTATTGGCTTGTTCCTCATTGCTTCCTTTCTTATACACAACTGGCTTTGGGTGGCACCAGCCTTCCATAACAATCATAAATTAAAAACAACAAAAATTCCCCACAGGCCAGCCTGTAGGCCAGTGGTTCTCAACCTTCTTAGTGCTGCGACCCTTTAACACAGCTCCTCTTGTTGTGGTGACCCCCCCAACTATAAAATTATTTTGTTGCTACTTCATAATTATAATTTTGCTACTGTTATGAATCATAATATAAATGTCTGATATGCAGGCTATCCGACATGCAGTCCCCAAAGGGGTCATGACCCAAAGGATGAGATCTGTTGCTATAGGCCAGCCTTATGGAAAGCATTTTCTCAAGTGAGAGTCCGGCTTCTCAAATAACTCTAGCTCTGGTCAAGTTGGCAAAAATCTAACCAGGAAAACATTGCTGAGTTCAGATCTGCCACAGACTTAGAAGCCATCACAGAAATTGTTTAAACATGATATAAGCAAAAACGTTTGTTCAGAGTTTGCACAGCTCTTGCCATATTCTCGTTTAGGGATATGCTGTTCCCCTTCCTGCCTGGGAAACCAGAGCCTAAGAGCGGGGGCAACCTTGCTGACAGGAGACAAGGATGCGGCTCCCTAATGTGGCTCTTGGCCACGGCCCTGTGTCCTTCCATGACCAATTGAGTCACGGGTCTGAATTCCCTGTAATGCACTGTGTCTCTGTAAGGTGAGAGCAGCACACATCACTGCCACCATCCGGAACAGTAACTTGGGATTCCTGTCTGCCTCAGCAGTTGGCAAACTACAGTGTAGCTGCTGCCTGCTTCTGTGGTTAAGGCTTTGTTGGGACCATCGTCACTGCTTTTGCACCACAGTGGCAGGAGTGCAGAGGTGAGGCCGAGACCCGTGGTCGCCCAACCACTCATGTTTTCTGTTTGTCTCTTACAGAAAAGAGTTTGCCAGTCTTTGGTCTTCCCATTTAGTAAATGATGTTCCTCTTAATGTTTAAAAGTTGTATAGGAAAAGATTGCTTCCACACTAGACATCCTCTTGTTCCTTACTCTTACTCTTCTTGGGGACAGTCCCCTAGATTTAGTGCCTCAGAAAACTGCCACGGTAGTCCAGGGAGAGTGCAGTGCTCTTTGTTGCGAGGCATCAGGTGACAGGTCCCTTCTCTGGAGCTTGCTTTGTCCTGATATCACCCAGGAACTCCTTGCAACAGTGTCTTCTGCTGGTTTCGGAAATATATTCTGATAATCTCTGTAGTTTCAAACGAGGCCGAGAGCCCACGTTGATTATTTCCATCCTGAGTCTGCTTGCCGGGGGTCCCTGCCTTCTTGCGTCCTGGTTATCCCCCTGACTTCCTGCATCAGTAGCTTCCCCCCAGCCTGTTCGGGGGTGCTTGCTGTGTGGGCGGATCTGCATGATTACAGCTTGGTGATGATGTGTGTCATTATGTTATGTGTTTATTATGATGACTGGCTGCTGTGCTCTTTAGTGGGCGTGTAACTGAAGGTGGCGAGGATGACAGATTATTTTTGAAAGCATAGGGCAAACACAGTTGAAAATTCAGCGGCAATTCTTAGCAACTACAGATGGTTTGCTCCTTTGCATTAGATTATATGTGTAATCTATTGTAATAAAGGTAGGGTTTGGTGCATCTAGTGAGCAAATATGCATTTCCATTGCTTTCATACTAAACCACCCCCCACACACACACCTATTCAACAAGTACAAATGGAACATACCATTCTAGGCTCGGGAGAAAAAATGGAGATTGACTAAGACAAATCACGTCTTGTTCTGATGAGAACAAAGACACCAAATGGTGCTATGCAGAAAGCTAGAAAGGGGTGCTAGAGGCGAGGATCACCCGAGGTCACCTTCTAGAAAGGATCTCCCAGCTTCAACTGTCTAGCAGGTGAGAAGAGCCCAAAGCTGGCCTGACGTCAGAGAGTGCAAGGAGCAGGGCAAAGGCTGCACGGGCTGTGGGGGAAGAGAATGAGGGCGAGACAGCCCGGAATGGATAGAAGGAACATGAGGCAGCAGATGAGAAGCCTTGTCTGTGTCTCGTTTTAAGTCATTGGAAGTTTTCATGCATACATGCACTCAAACAATCTTCGTGAAGCTAGTGTGCGCAAGCCACTGCATTATGTGTTCTATAGGGAAAGCAGAGGTGGCCTTTGACCATCCCGTCCTTAGAGTTGCTGGTCAGGGCCAGCAATATAGCTGAGCCATAGAGTGCTTACCTAGCATATACAAAGTCCTGGGTTCGGTCCCCAGTACTGCAGATCTTTACTATAAAAAATATGTATGTTTCTCAGTCATACAATGTATAGTTGTTTCTTAACATAAGCTGCATATATATTAGTGAATAAGTAATATTTTTCTAACTTTATTTGTGCCTGGTAGAAATATCTCATGTCTTAATATTCACAATTGATTAATGTTTTTACTAAGACGTGTGAAATAGTGATGTTGAAACAATAGTATGCCTTTGAGTTAAGATGTAACTTTTCTTTTGGGTTCCACTGACAACAGCGTTTACTGGCCCTTGTTCGTCTTGATTTTCTACGTCATCTCTCCCATCCCCTACTTCATTGCCAAAAGGGTCACATATGACTCTGATGCGACCAGCAGTGCCTGTCGGGAACTGGCATATTTCTTCACGACTGGGATTGTTGTTTCTGCCTTTGGATTTCCTGTTATTCTTGCTCGCGTGGCTGTGGTGAGTTCTGTTTTTTATTGTTTTACTCAGCGGTCAGGATTTGCTTCAAAGGCCGGTGCCTACCACCTCAAGTTCATTTTCATTGCTTCGGTTTTCCTTGAAGCCAGCTCTGGTTTTAGTTTCTCTCTCCTATTGGAGATTCATTAGTGTCTCAGTCATATTTTCTGAGTGCTCTCACTGTTTCTCTTACAGTTTTTAGTCAAACCATATGACGTCTTGCTTTTTCTGTATTAAGCTATTCTCTTCAGTCATTTTTATATTCCTGCCTCTTAAACCGTGGGGCAATCCACTGAGACAAGACAAATACTGCTTTCCCAAACAGAAAATAAAGGTCATATCAAAGTAGAACCAGCGACTTACTTCTTAAGGACTCTGGGATAGACTGAGGAATATCTAGTGAATGACATAGCCACACCTAGTGTGGGCTTTTTTTTTTTTTCTGGACTGGAAAACAAACATTGTGCTATAATTTATTCAGTTTCTTGATGTTCTCTGACTCTCCTTTTTTTGTTTTTATCTGCCAACCACATTGGCTATCAGTTATATACAATCTTATTTATTTAGCATCAAAATATCTTAGGAACATTTGCTTTGTATGAAATGCCAAGATTAAAACCTCAATACTGTCAGCACTCCAAGAACATGGTGGCGGCCTGATGAAAATGTATGCTAAAGTATACTACATATGAGGAGGGCAATGATAAGTATACTGTAGGAATACCCCGGAGAGAGAAATGCCAGCTGCTGCCTGATAGGGGCCTCGAAGACCAAATAGGATTCTGATTCAAGTAGAGAAGGCTGTTGGAACGGCACCCAAGTGTGAAAATAAAGTGTGTGGGATAAAGAAACGGTGCAGGATGAGGAAGCAAAGAGGAGGTACTGAGAGTAAGGCCAGAAAGGTTGCTGCAGCCTGCTGAGCCAGAGCCCCTCAAGCTGCGTCAGCTTGAACTCTACTTAAGCAATGCGGAACTGATGCCCTGAACACAGGGTGGCTATGGCCTCATTCGTCAGCTTAAGTATTGCTGGAAGTGTTCCTGTTTTCAGCATTGAGGCTGTGTTTGGTGAACCTGAAGCAGAAAGGGAAAAAGAAATGCCCACTAGAGGGTACTCTCATCCCTAGCTGTGTCTCCTCAGTAGAACCATCTGCCCAGCTGGAGTGCCCCTTTCATTTAAACATGTTATTGCTTAAAGTGTGTCTTGCCTAGAAAAGAAGCAAACAGATGTCTAACTTTCTAATTCCTGTCCTCTGTGAAAGAGGGAACTCTTTGCACCTAATGTTGTAATCTTGCTGAGTGTATTTTGCTTGAGGCAGTTACTATCAACTAAGAACAATTAGAGATTCGTCTCATAGAAAGGATGTTAGGATGACAGTAGACTTAATTAGCAAGCATCATGGAATCACACATGACAGGGAGGTCACTGTCCTCCACCCATGGCACCACTCACCGTCTCAGCAGCCTTGTGTCATGTTTCAGCAAAGACTAAGAGACTCACAAAGAAGACAATGTGAAAAGGACATAATCCTTCTCTTGTGTTTCAGATCAAGTGGGGAGCCTGTGGCCTCGTGCTGGCCGGCAACGCTGTCATTTTCCTCACAATTCAAGGCTTTTTCCTTGTCTTTGGAAGAGGAGATGATTTCAGTTGGGAACAGTGGTAGCGCTTTACTCCGAGGGAAAGCATGGAGTTTCTTAGAGTTTGTATTGTACGTATATGTGTATGCACGTGGTGTTTTCTTACAGACTTTAATATGCTGAGTTTTTTTTTATACCTTTATATCATGATCATCTTAGGGAAGATGCTGTAAACAAAAGATGAGTTTTATTCCTGGCAAACAGATCACTCCATTGACTCAACTGTTGTTACCATGGTCTTGTAGACAGCCACTTGCTTACCCAGGGTGTCTAAACCTTTTGCTTTGGGATACGCTTGGGTAGTCAGAGACACTGGGACAGATCTGACAGCCCAGAGTTGGCTTTCTCTCCTTGCTGTATACTCACCTCAGAGGGAGTTTTATCCATCCGAAGCATCAACATCTGCTAGTGGCTTCTCGGGGATGTGGGATCCGAAGCCCCCATCAGACCAGATGCGTTTGATGAGATTCCACACTTGTCTCATGCCTGTTGAAGTGAGAGAAGTGTTGTCATAAATGAAGAAACATTATCATAGCTCCCTTGTTTACTCCTTGGCACAACCACTTGGCACAACACCTTTCTGGGTGTTGTCTGTGCATTTGCAAAAAAAAAAAAAAAAAAAAAAAAGTTTTCCTGTCCCATGTTGAGAATGAGCTCAGATCTTGGTGTTTCTAACATGTTTAAATTGTAATACTTGTATTGTTGCTCAGATGTGAGGGGCCTGTTCTTAGGAGGGAACAGATAAGTCCTCTTCATCCAAAAGCAGTGGCTGTTTGCACAGAATAACCAAAAAGCCCCCCTGGGTACAGGGAGAGAGGCTGGGCTGGAACTGGCCCCTGTGTTAAGTGGAGGGGAGGTTAGACAGTTCTTTGAAATGCACACTGTAATCCCAGCACTTGGGAAGGCAGAAGCAGGCTGATCTCTGTGTGAGGCTAGCCTGGTCTGCAGAGAGAGTCCAGTACAGCCAAGGCTACACAGAGAAACCCTGTCTCGAAAAAAACATAAACAAAACAAACAAACAAACAAACAAACAAACAAAAAAACCTGTTTTTGGAGGTGGGAGTCACATTAACTGGTTTGGATTGTCAAGTCTCAAGTTTTCTCATCCATACCACCTCAAGCTGGACAGTGCAGTGCAGCTCCAAGCTCTAAGTGGAGCTTGGGGGCTCCACTTGGCAGGTCCTGAGATAGCCTCCTTGCCCAGACGTGTCTCTAGTTTCCCACAGGGTCCACAGGCTGAAATGATCTTTCCTCCTGTCACTGCCCTCCTTCACTCCCGAAGATACCAGGGAGAGAAGCAGGCTCACCTTGAACCCTTAACAAGGAGGTGGACTGGAGCATTCCTTACCCTACTAGAGAGGAAGGCAAGGTGGCACCAACGCCCTAGGCAGTTACTCTGGTGGGTAAGGGCTGCCGTGTCTTGCCAGAGTACTCTCAGTCTATCCACACAGCCCCACCCACCATTGCATGGTGGGCACCGAAATCCCCGTGGGCATCAGTGGGTGTGCACCCCAGAAGTGGGAGTCCCTCGTCATCCGTGGCTCCCCCAGGGTCTTGCTCCACATCTCCGGCACAGTCATTACCGAGAAGGAGCACACTGTAGTCTGGCAGCCAGTGACTCGACACACAGAGGCAATAGTGAAGATGCTGTTGCCCAGCCCCAACGTGACGAGGACAAGGTGCTGGTTCCCATGGCCACAGCTGTGCTGTGCCTCACCAGCACTGAGCTCTCCCTGGAGGCAGACATCTCTTGACATAGACAGCTGGGCATGCCAAGTGATACGCAGGCCAAGAAAAGATGGTGTGGGGCCCAAATGGCTGGAGAGCCATCCTCCTTGTGAATTGTAATCCTGGTGACACCGGCCAGCTTGATGACCAGTCCAGCAAGCAGAAGGTTGTCAAAGAAACGCAGACCCTGTATCAGATGACTGACTGTGGAGGGTCCCACCAGCCTCCTAAAGAACTGCTAGCTTGTCCTCCATACCTCTGAGGAAGAGGCAGATGAAGGCAAGAGTCAGAGGCACACCTCTGCCTATAAATGGGTAGTGGGACCTGGCAAGCCTGTCTATGCCCTGGATCCCTTTGATAAACCTAGGGAAAGAGACTTTCTACCTAGAAGCCACAGAGTTCCATCTGCCATCTTCTCAGGCCTGATCTCCCTCTCTGTCTCCCTAGTGCAAAAAGCTCATGACTGGCCAATCACAGAGACCCCGCTCTCTGCAGTGATGTTTCGAGTGGCACCGTGTGTCTTCTTGCCTAGCACCTAACTGCCTCTAGAGGTTTACCTATGCAGGGAGCTGCAGCTGCAGAGCTTTGTGAACACAGTGACAAGACGAAGCAAGAAGAGCAATGTGCAGGTGGCATCTGTCTGTGAGGACCCCAGCTGCCAGGACAAGTGGCTACAGGATGAGATGGCTCTGTGCTATCCTCAGACTACCCACAATATGGTGTCTTTCACTTTTGACTCCCCTTGGGTTTTCCCATGAAATATTCACTGAGTCCTGGTGTTGGCTCCCTGATTCAACAAACTGAGGACCACCCAGTGGCCAGCCTAGATCCATTGGAAACCTAATAGTATCCCCACCTGCCAAGGCTACAGGCAAAGACTACTCCACTAGGCAGGGTCCTCATTGGTGGCAGCCTCTACCCAAGTTCTGAAAGCCTGGACATGAGCAAGGCTTTGCAGGACTTCTTGTGTGTCCAGCAAGTACAGACCCCTGTGGAACTCTTCCCAGACTGGTAGATGACTGGCCACGTGATGAGTTCTCGTGCTTTGTCCCTGAAAATGACAAAAAAATGATGACAGGAAGGGCTTCCGCATACTGTTGGCCAGTCCCAGTGCAGGCTACAGCTGTGTGAACAGAAGCAGAAGGAGTGCTATGGGGATGTGACCCTTCCTGAAGACGGCAGAGCAGAGCAGCTTCTTTCTAATGGGAGGGCTGTCAGAACCATTTCCCTAATCCTGGCCGAGAAGAACTTGTGAAAGCAGAATGACTGTGTGGAGAAAAGTATCAGCTTGAACCATACCCTCCTGAGGGAGGACCTGGGACTGGTGGACAAAGACATCATCGCCTTCCCTCAGCGTTTCTGCCTGGCGCTGCTGACAAACACCCCCTCAAGCCAGCAGACCACAAAACTTCGCAAGGCCATACTTCCCCAACATGCTGCAGATGATTGTGTTGGGCAAGAATATTGGAATTCCCCAAGTCCTTTGGTCCCCAAATCAAGGGCACCTGCTGCCTGGAAGAAAAGGGCCTGTGGATTACTAGAGTCCCTGGGTCTCAAGTGCACCTTCATTGATGACCTTGACTGCTACCTGAACAACATGGAAGACGCCTGTGCCGTCTGCATTCAGGTGGTAGAAGATGACCTCTGAAACCCTGGTACCCTAGTACCCTGCACCTGCCTAAAGGTTCCATGCCTCCACATCCTCACCAGATAGGAAGACTCAGCCTGGTTGTATAAGACTCTAGAACGAGGCTAATATGGAGACACTTCTGGGCAGGGAGACCATCCTAGGACCTTCCAAGCCCTGAGTTTGGATCTCCCAGGGTCCACTTAGAGTTCTGTTTTACCAATAACTTGGAGTTGCACTGCCCAACTTGAGGATGGTATGGATAAGAGAAGTTGAGAGTTGACAGTCCAAAACCACTTATGTGACCTCCACATCCAAAAGGTTTTTTTTTCAGTGTTGTGAACTATAAAACCTTGTTTCTTTGGTGTGGTTGAGCTCTAACATACACCTTTAATCCAATAATTTTTATTTATTGTAAGCAGATGATTAGGGTGCGGTTCAGCCAGCCCTAGCACACACCTTTAATCCAAGAGCTTCCTGTACACAGGATTTAATAAAGTTAACCCTAGGTCAAGAGGCGGAGCAGGAAGCCAGCTGACAGGGATTGAAGAGTAGGAGGGACTTTGAAGCTATTTAAGACAGCATGGAGAAGTAGAAGAGTCTTTAGCACCTCAGCTCTTCAGCTCCTCGGTCTTTGGCTCTTCTGAGCTTTTAGCTTTCTAGCTCTTGGACTTCAGCTCTTTAGCTCTTGAACTCTTCAGCAACTTGGCTTTTGGCTCTTCCGAGCTTTTAGCTCTCTAGCTCTTGGGCTTTGAGCTAAAAAGCCTTTGGCTTTGTGTTTTGGTGTGTTTTACCTCCTGGGCTGTCAGCTGAGCTAGTGATGTTTTTGGGCTTTTTCCTGTGGAATGTCAGTTGAGTAGAAATGTCAGCTGGGTGCTTTCTCTGCCTCCCTGAGCTAGCAGGTTTTCACCCTAGCATCTGGCTCATGAGTATTTATTGGTAAAATAGAACAGTTGGGATTTTCGGTTTTTTTTTTTTTTAAACATTTCAAATATTCTGCAGTACTCTCCCTTTCCAGTGTCCTCCCCCGCCCCCAACTCCTCAGCATTCTTATTTGCTCTTGTTGATGGCTCTGACCTTTCCTGAAAGGATATGAGAATCAAAAGCAAGCAGAGGATGAGGGCTTTATTGAATTTACACATTGGTGCACTTTTTGTCCTTTTTATTAAACTTGATGTCACCTCCACAGGAAACAGGGATCACATGTTGGTTCTTGTTATAAACAAGTTTTCTAGCTCATCTTTTTTATCTGGGACCTATCAGGAGAAGGAAGTGAAAACTATGACCACCTAACCAGGATGCCGTCAGCGGTCTTAAAGCGCGGTGATTGGCAGCATGTTGGCAGAGTGTTCAGAGCACTCCCCCTTGAGGCTTGTGGTCTGAGGAATCAGCACTCCTGGCCAGTCTGGTGTGATGCTGGGACCAGGGGACGAAAGGACAGTGGACAGTGTGCAATGTTACTCTCTGGCCTTGTGCATGGCATTATGTTTTTAATATTTTGTGTACATACAGAATTGTTAAAGTTGTCATTTCTAGTATTTACATTAGAAAAATTATTTAGCTACTCAATCATTTTAAGCAGCATTTTTAATCATGACACTTGCTATTGTAATAAATTTGACTTTTAACACCAAAGGAGAGTTGAACTGCATAAGTCTTCAATCTCAATTTACCTTGCTTATAAGATGAGCGACAATTTCTTGACCCTTTGGAATGGGCAGTTTTGAGGAG